CTTTCTTCGAATCAATCTGTACGTGGGCAAATATTGTAAAATAATGTCATGTATGTGTAAACAAAATATTTATTTAAACAACAATAGCTCCCACAAATTAATTTTATATAATCTAATATATTATATACCTTAAAGTAATAAACTATTTCTTTATTATAATATAACTTAGTTAAAATAACAAACTAATTAAGCACTAATTAATTTTATTATAATATAACTTCAACTTCAACGAACAACCTAATATACGTTTAAAGACACTAACAAATTAATTAATATTTTTTATATTTAATAACTTAAACTAAGAAACTAATTAACTAATTTTTTATATAATATAATATATAACTTAAACTAATAAACTAATATAATATAACTTAAACTTACAAACTAATAATTTATACTAACAAACTAATTAACTAGATTTTAGTTTTAAGTTGCACCCGAAACTAACAAACTAATAATTTCATATAATAAACTAAATTAAACAATAAAAAAATTACCTCAACTATGTTTGAGCCTTTATCTTCTTTTCTTCTTCTTCCTTTTATTTCTCTCGGCAAAATTTATATGTGCTGGTTCTGCTTGTGCTTCTACCCTATACCCCATATCCTTTATAAAACAACTGAGCGTTAACTATTGAGCATTGAAAGGCTCACAGCTAAATTAACGCTGCAATAACGTAATTATAGATGCAACACATACAGGTACGGGTGCAGGAATCTCTGAGCTATGAGCTATGATGCAACGCATACATGCAAGCTATGAGCTATGATGCAACGCATGCATGCAGCAGGACCTTGGTCGCCGAGACTCCATGGCGACCACCGTGACCATCCCCTCCCCATGCATTCCCACCCCATGCATTCCCACGTCCAATGCACCATCCCCTCCCCCATGCATTCCCACCCCATGCATTCCCACGTCCCATGCATCCCCTCCCCCATGCATTCCCACATCCCATGTTGATCCCTCCCCCATGCATTCCCACCCCATGCATCCCCTCCCCCATGCATTCCCACGTCCCATGTTGATTGCATGCATCCCCTCCCCCATGCACGTCCCATGTTGATTGCATGTCCCACCCATGTTGATTGCATGGCCCTATTCTGTAATACACACAGGTCGCCCGGATGCCATGGCGACCTCCAAGGTCGCCCGGATGCCATGGCGACCTCCAAGGTCGCCCGGATGCCATGGCGACCTCCAAGACCACTGTAGAATTCACCCCATCCCAGCAATTAATCTGGGATGTGCACCATATCGTGAAAAAAAAAATCGAGAACATTATCTCGTGAATTCACCCCAGATTCTCACTAATTTATTTATTTAAATGTCCCATCTTTGAAATTTATGAAAAATAATTAAAAGGATAAACTACATCAATAGTCACTAATGTTTGGGATAGTGATTATTTTCACTATTGATGTTTTAAAAATCATAAATCAATCACTAACGTTATCGTTTATTATAAATTGATCCCTCGACGTTATCGGTCGTTGTTGTAAGTGATGGAAAATTGACATGTACCGTTAAATGTTTACCTGGCCGGTTAACTGCTTACGACCAATCACTAATTCAATGAAAGTTGTTGACCTTTTTTATAGAAATTACTTATTCTTCCCCTTTCCTTCTTCACAACTCATTCTTCACTCTTTCTTCTACTTCTTCACAACCCATTCTTTACTCTCCCGTTTCTCCTTCACTGCATTCATCATTTGTCTTAGTTTCAGATCCCAAAACAAATAATTATTTTTGTTTAATTTACACATTTATCACCAAAAACACAAAGGGTAAAAAATTATAATGATATCTTCTCCTTCACCGCCATAGCTTTATCATCATCTTTTCGGCGGCGTCATTACATGTCCACCGTCCGACCGAGAAACATTGTCGAGTTTAATGGTACAAATCGTCACCATCGCTGAGCTATAGAACCCTCGTTTGCTTACAGACAACTTTCTCATTAACTGACCAAGTTTCGTCGGCTGCCATTAAATACCCCCACGAAATCCATAGCTTTTCATCAACCCGTTCAAATTCTTCTTCCATTTTTCCAAATTCAATCACTTTCTCTCAAAACTAACTAACAATTTCCTTCAATGGAATCATCATTTGCACAAACCCCAAACCCAAATCACAGTCCCCTTCCTCGATTTAATTTTCTTGTCCCACGCTTTCACTTGTTTCACCACTTTTCTCTCAAAATATCGCAACCTAAAACCATAAGATCAAGGGAAAAATCTGGGTTTCGATCGTTTGATCGAGGAGAAAGAAGACAAGTTGAGAGTTCATAGAAAAGACGTGGAGAAATTGATGGAAAATCTGGGGATTTTCTGCACCAAAATAACTGAGAAACTGAGTGAATCATTTGGGCCAAATGAAAAATATGGGGAAGAAGAAGGGAGAGGAGAAGAAAAGTAATTTCCATAAAAGGCCAGTTTTCATTGAATTAGTGATTGATCAACGGGCCATGTAAGCATTTAACCGACCAAGTAAGCATTTAACGATACAGTTCAACTTTCTGTCACCAACAATGATATTGTTAACATTGAATGATTGATTTGTAATAACGGTAGTGATTGATTTATGATTTTTGAAATATCAATAATGAAAATAAATTCTAACTCAAATATTAGTGACTATTGATGTAGTTTACCCGAATTAAAATAAGTACAAATACCTCAAATTCAAATGACATAACTTTTACCACCTCTCAAAAATATAGTTTTAATTTGCAGCTTTAATTGTAATTTTCATTTTATTTAATTCAAGGACTCTATTATTGCTATGCAGATTAGTGGTTTTTTAATTACAAGTAAAGATGCTTTTGGAGTTGTGTTTTTGTTTTACGTGTTGGGTTCTGTAAAATAAAATAGCGATGGGAAGATGTTCATGTGACAGTTTTTGCCGCTGAAAAGTTTAAATTAGGGCGATAAATGAGACGAGATAGATCGCGAGTTACTCGAAATTGATTCGATTAAGGCTCGATAAATACTCGGATCGAATGGACTCGATTCGATCTCGACTCGAATTCTTAACGAGCCGAAACAAACTACTTGATACTCGACTCAAAAAGCTCGTGAGTAGCTCGAAAATATAATATATTAATATTTTGTTTTTTAAAAAATAAATTATTACTAATATTAACATTTATGTGTTGATTTTTTTTTAAAATACAATAAGATTTTCATGTATTTAAGGTTCAGGTTCGAGTTTAAGTTTGAAGATTCAATCTTGTTAAGTTTAAGAATTTTTTTCTTCATTTCGAGCTTTTTCGAACTGCTCACGAGCTTCAGTTCAGGATTTCGAGTTCGAGTCAAGCTTAAAAATTTTAAGCTCGCAAGTTTTCGAGTCGAGTTCCATTTCAAAATTTTCGAATCAAATCAAGTTCAGCAATACTCGAACTCTACTCGACTGTTGTACACCCCTAGTTCAAACCCAAATTGTTTGCGACGTGTGTACGGACTAGTTTTATTTTAGGTAAACTATATCAATAACCATTTAACTATTTATTCCTTTTACTTTAAGTACTATTCTTTTAATACTTTCAATCAGATCACTTAATTATTTAATGGATGTCAATCAAGTCACTTGCCATTAATATTTAATAAAAGTGTTGACGTGACAGTTAATAAAATTAATCATAAAAATATATAAATATATTTTGATTTGTACATTTAAACATTTTTAATTAAAATATAAATCTATTTTAAATACCAATTTATACAAAAAAAAAATTAAGATTATGTATAATCATTTGACAGAAATATTTTATTCATACATTTATATTTTTTGTATATTTTATTTTTGATAAAAATAAAATTATTAATTAAATTAAAAACCTTAATTTAAAATTTTATAAAAATCATTAAATTATATATATGAAAAAAAGTTAAATGTAGTTTAAAAGTTATAAAAATCTTAAATTTAATTTCTTTTAATCTTATATAAACTAATATTTAAAATATATAATATTTATTTAACTACTAACTAAATGTAAGATTACTTGAATTTTGTTGTTCTCCCATATATTTAATTATTAAACTTTAGTATAAAACATATACTATTGAGTATCACTTGCCACAAATGTTGAGTATGGCTCAATGGCATAAAATTGAATTTTATTAACAAAGAATGCTTTCGAACTTTGGCATATTGAAAGCAATGCCAGAATCAACAACCCCAACCAAGGATAGGTTTGTCATTTGGGTTTAATACATTTATTATATCGAAAAGCTTATTAAGGTTTTTAAAAAATAATTTTTAAAATTATGGTTAAAAGAATTTTTAAAAGTAATCTTTAAAAATATAGTCTAAAATTTAGCTGTTTGGATTATTGTTAGAAAACGAGTATAAAAAATATTCATTATATGTATTATGTTATAAATTAAAAACATTAAATTTAAATTATATTTACATTTATTAATACTACGAAATATAAAATATGTCACTTAAATTATAATAAAAATATAAAAAATATTTTAAGATAACTCATTAATTATATTTTTATAAATAAAATATTTTATTAAGAAAAAATATATTATCAATACTTTTTAATACATGGATATAAGATATTTTATTAATATTTTGAATTTTATTTACTTTAAATAATTAAAAAAAGTTATTATTTAATAAATTATTTTTAAGGAGGTTAATATTAAATAATTAAAATAAAATATAAATAAATAATTGAGTATAACTCATATATTAATAAAGGTAAAATTATAATTTGTTCTCAAATGTAAAGTTAAAAATAAAAAAATTACAAATTCTAACTTTTACTATTAGTTTGAAACCATCATTTTCATTGTATTTTATTTTATTTTTTATGTATTTGATATTAATTTTAGGGTTAAAATAAACTTTTTTTTAACTAAAATAACGTTTAAAATATTATGGAGGGTAAGTCCGTCATATTGTGAAAGTGGTCCCATTTGGATGTTTGGTGATCAGCGCTAGCGCTTAACAACAATATATAGATAGATCCAAAGTACGGTATCCAAGCAGCAAAGTACACTCTACCCTCTAATTTCCTTTAAACAAAGCTTTCTGTTTATCTTCTCCAATTCATGAACAAAATGGCTGAAAATCTGATTCATGCCCTTCAATATAGCGGCTATGGCGGAGGCGCTGCTGGTTTGAAGGTGATTCTACTTCATTCTCACCATATATTGTTCTTTAGCTTTTGGTAGTATTTATCTTATATTTTTCTGGATTGAGGTATTAGTTCGTTTTTATGTGGACGAAATTTTGGTCAAGGTTTGTTAATCTAGTGCTTAGATTGATATTCTCTCTTTGAATTCAAAATTCTATTGTTTAAATCTGTGATTGAAATGATTTGAATGAGGGTCGTGAGGCATTAGGAAAGTGGAAATTTCAAGAATGGAAAGAAATTCGGGATTCTCTTTTCGGAATTAAATTTCCAGAAAAGGGTTTGAAAATGAGAGGTTAATTTTTGACAGGGAAGCGTTAGCCCTTTATTTGGAAATGAAAATTTTTCTCCAGTATTTTTTTGATCGATATAAACTTGAAAATTTATTGCCAGTGACTTGGTGTTATAACGGCTGTGATTTTTTACGACTGTTACAGCATGTTGAAGTTCCAATCCCTACTCCAAGTCAAGGAGAAGTTTTGCTTAAACTGGAGGCAACTAGTCTAAACCCAGTTGACTGGAAAATTCAGAAAGGGATGCTGCGCCCATTTTTACCTAGAAAATTCCCCCACATACCTGGTACTTTATTTGTTTTCTCCTTTTGACTGTTTCCGTTTTGAAATATTCTTCCGACTCTTTCATTTTTACTTGGCTAGTGGTATTTGTATTTAATTAACATCATCTGTTAAGTATAAGTTGCACAATTCTATGAAATCTGGGTTTGTAGTAGTGATATGTCAAATTCCGGAAGAGTTTTTTTTTTTGAAAAATGATTTATTTAATGTTTTGCTGGATCATTCTATGTTGTAATCAAATTTGCGTTTATGTACATTTCCTGGTTTTGCTTTAGCGGCAATTGTTAATGGAAAAACGTGTCGATTTGTTAACCAAGTCTATCATTAAAGAACATAATTTGTCTATAAGTGAAGGGATATTGATACAGCCTTGAAGACTTATTATCATTTTTCTTTGTCATGAATTCAACGTTTTAAAACATGAGAATTTGGTATCCCAAAAGAAAAGTTGGCTAGTTATATACTGCATGCAAGTTATATTAAAAGAATCCAACTCTAAATTATCAGTAAGCTTTGCAATTTTCTTTCTGTTGATATTTGGATTCCCTGTTTTTAGTCATTGGCTAAAGTTTTTTTCCCCTTGTACAGCTACTGATGTAGCAGGAGAAGTCATAAAGGTTGGACCAGGAGTCACGAATTACAAAGATGGGGATAAGGTTGTGGGCATGCTTAATCATTTTGTAAGTTCTCATTCTCAACTAGCATGCCATTAATCATTCTGAGAACAATCAGAAATGATATTTCTTCATGATGAGTGGAGAAGCACTAGCTTTTACTAGAGTGATCGGTAACAATTTAGAAAGTTGTTGATGTTTTTGGGTATTAGCTCAAGCAATTAATTGTGTTTGGATTAATCAAAGCAAATGAAGCCAGCGTGTCATGTCATCACCAGAACTTGAAACCCTGAAGTAACCTTTTTAATGGTAAACCTTTCTTTGAAAACTTTTGGCTTTCCGTTTTTTGGTTATATTGATAGTGACGGTTGAGAGAAACATATGTATGTGTGATGTTTCACTGGCCTATTTGTTGGTTCAATCTGTAGGAACATCCTGAAATGCCAGATTTTATTACAACTAAATTTCCATATTGAGTCATATCATGTTTAGAATGCAACCATCCTTCGTCGGTATGACTCATTTCTGAGAAATGATTTATTCTTATCATTTGGCCATTTAGTGGGGGGAGAAACCTAGATATTGTTATTGCAGGCCAATGGTATGGTGAATTTACCACCAATTCAGTGTATCATGTCAGTTATTATGGTTATGATTATTTTTGCAATGATAGAGTGGAGGTGGACTAGCTGAATTTGCTGTGGTTAAGGAGAGTTTGGCAGTTGCAAGGCCTCCAGAAGTATCAGCTGCTGAAGGTGCAGGCTTGCTTGTTGCTGGTCTCACAGCTCACCAGGCACTCACCCAATCCGCTGGGATCAAGCTTGATGGAAGTGGCCAGCAAGTAAATCTTCTGATTACTGCTGCTTCAGGTGGTGTAGGTCAATATGCAGTTCAACTGGCAAAGCTTGGAAACACACATGTGACAGCCACTTGTGGGGCTCGTAATATGGATCTAGTCAAGAGCCTTGGAGCAGATGAGGTTCTTGACTACAAAACTCCTGAAGGGGCGGCTCTGAAGAGCCCCTCTGGTCGCAAATATGATGCAGTGATCCACTGTGCAATGGGCATTCCTTGGTCTACTTTTGAGCCTAATCTGAGTGCAAACGGAAAGGTAATAGATATAACACCTGGTCCTAGTGCTTTGCTAACTTTTGCTATGAAAAAGCTTACCTTGTCAAAGAAGCAGCTGGTTCCACTGCTTATGAAACCTAAGAAGGAAAACCTTGAGTATCTTGTAAACTTGGTGAAAGAAGGGAAGCTTAAAACAGTAATTGATTCAAAGTATCCCCTAGGTAAGGCTGAAGAAGCATGGGCTAAGATCATGGATGGTCATGCCACTGGTAAGATAATTGTGGAGCCTTAAATGTCACTTGTAAGCAATTAAACAATGATGCTTGGAGGTGATGTTGCCGGCAGTTGGTCGGGTTTCGGTATCGATTGCTGATAATGCTATGGATATTCAGGATTTGTGGACTTTGTTATTGAAAATTATGTTTACTAAATGTATGTTGAAGACTACACTTCAGACGTGGTTGCAATTATTTTTTTTCTTTTTTGTGTTGTAAGCTTTGTATCCACATATATTCCTACTTGTTTTCTGGATGACAATTTGCACAATGGTGTTGAAATGTCGAGGGGCCTGGACTTGTACACGTTTTCACTGTGCTCAGCAGTTGGCTCAAATGATAGGGGCCATAACTTGTACTAAGCCTAATCGTAATTATTTGGTAAGGCAAAAAATAATTATTTTATTATGATCTGTTATCTACAAAAACGTAAAACTTCATATTATTTTCCTTATAAAAATTATAAACATATAGAATTATATTATTTTATCAATAATAGTTTATTTATTTATTTTATAGATTACAGATCGAGTTATTTAAAAATCTAAAAAAGTTGTTTATAGTATTATACCCATAATTATAATAAAGTTGAACGAGAGTTGGAAGACACTAAAAACTTCAAATAAAAATGATGTAGAAATTTTGGTCTTTATAAATAAAATCTAAAATCTAAACTGAATATTAAAATAGTTGAAAGATTTCTTAAGTATTTAAACCTATGTTTACTCAACTTAATTAAAGTTGTCCATTGTTCGAACCAACTTACTTTAGCAATTAAAGGAATCTTTGTTATTCTTAGAGGTTACGGGTTCAAGCACCAGCAGCTACAGCAGGGTGATTGAGCGTTAATTGTCAAATGGTTGAGAACATTTAAAATACATACTACTTTGTAATCACGTTAGCTTAATAATTTTTTTAAAGTTTTCCGTTACCTTTCTTTTACCCTAACTTTGTTTTTGCCGTCAGTTGTTTACCCTAACTTTGTCTTTCAATAATCCAATTTCATGACTAATTCATTGCTTCAATTCATATTCATAAACGAAAACGTGAGTTATTCCACTAAATGAAGGTGAAGGAGGTAAACAATTGACGGTAAAAAAGTTTAGGGTAGAGCAAGTTGACAGAAAACTTTGGCTAAGTTGAGTAAAATTCATTGATACACGTGACATTAAATTATATAAGGGTACATAAAAGGGGTAAAAGATTTTTTTTTGGTCGAACCGTGGCCTAGTGAGGGTAAATCAAATGTTATTAGCAAAAACAAAGTATATTCGTTAATTTAAGCACGTGGGATGTCTAGTGTGGGGATATCAGAATAATGCCAAAGTGATTTCTCGAATTCCCAATGAGATTACACACATGGAACCTTCGTCCCACTGCGAATCATGGAGTTCCGCACCACCACCACCACTTCTCGATCCCCCACCATTTTGATTTTCTTGCTTGGTTTTTCAGATTTTGGTTAACAATTAGTGTTGTAAGAGCAAGAAGCGGAGTATGAAGAATTACAAGACTAAGAATTATCCACACTTTGTGCTTGCGAAGCTTAGTTTTATGATCATCACGTTAATTTTTTTTGTGTGATAACAGAGAAGAAGCAGGCTAAGAAGAAACATAAAAAATAAATTGTGGGAATACTTTATTCAACATGAGGCTGATGCAAAGATTCTTGGCTCCATCACCTTCACCATGGTTAAATCAACTTGTTTGTTACTCGAATAGCTTATGACTTGAACCACATATGTTTGATCTGCAATGATTGAATTCATAGTACTGAGATCGACTTTCTGGTCAAGTTTGAATCATGTTCGAATTCATATCGAAACTTGGGGTAATAAATCGATTAAAGTAATCAGTTTTGATTCAAGTTTCGATTAAAGTAATCATCGGTTATATTTACTTTACTTTTATGAAGATTCTTATCTCGAAAACCTATTAGTCTATCACACTACAGGCCTGCTTTAGACTCACTTGCAACTAGGATTCATCTCTCATGAACATCAATTTTGATCGAAGCATTCACTAGGATTTGTTAAACTTTGTAAATGAATTATCTTCTGAAATCCTACTTATATTGTTGTGTTCGTTTATCATAAGGAAACAATGATGTTTAATATCATCTTATTTTTTTCAATTATTTAGTTTCTTCCCTTAATATTGAAAAGATAATTCATTAAAATGACAGTCAACAAATTGCGAGCCAACGTCCCAACTACTAAAATAAAATATATTAAAAATAAAAGTGATTAAATTTTAATTTTTTTACAAATTGAAAATTAAAATAAGATAGATAAAAAAAATCACTAATTTAGTTTACCCGAAAATTATTTTAAAAAATTAAAACTTTATAATTTAAATTGTCACGGTGACCTAAAGAATATAATTGAAAATATATTGAGGCTATTTTACAATTATACCTTATATCATATTCGACTGTTGTTACCACACGCGTTTCAGGCTTCATTTGACCCTACCTTTGGAAATGAATATTGAACGAAAACTGTTTAATTTCTTCCAGTCGTGCGAGAGTTTACTGAATCACATGAAATTTTATCTAAAATAGATTTATTTATATATAAATATAGACTTATAAACAAACACATTGTCAATCTCTATCGAAACTTAGGGTAAATTATACGTTTAATATATAAATTATTATTTTTAGTCTATTTAAAATCTAAATTTTTAATTTTTAAAAATCATATCTAAAATTTAATTTTTGTTTCATTTAAGTACATAGTTAAAAAGTTAACGTTGTATTTTGAAAAATAAAAATTTTAGTTACTAAAACGAATCAAAATTGATAATTTAGGTACTAAATGCATTACATTTTTAACGACTGGTACTAAAATGAAACAAAACTAAAAAATAGGTCTAATTTTGAAACAAATTAAAGTTTAAATACTAAAACGGACCAAAACTAATAGTTAGATACTAAATGTGTAATTTATCCTAAAATTTATTATAGTTTGAGTTGATTTCCATAAACCTCCGATCTTCTATGAAACTATACTTGTTAATACTGTGAGCTCTCCACCACACAAAATCTTCAAACATAGCTCCCCGTCCACTAGAACGTTTGTTGAGATAAACAGATATTAGTTAGTTTGTTAGATAGGTTGTTAGAGGCAGTTAGTAACAGTTATATTTTAGTTATTGTGTAATTACTTGAACTGTGTACTATAAATTGAAGTTTAGATGGATAATAAAATAAACGAGGTATTATTTTTAACAACGTTCGTCTGATCTATGTCCCCGAATACCGGTTTATGGTAAACTATAGTGCATGAACAGGATTTCTAATATGCTTAGGTGATATGTCGGAACAAAATTCAATTATAATATATTTCTAACTTGTCAGTCTACAAATAGTCATAATATTCCTATTGTTGACACGTACACTGAATATCATTATAAATAATTTTAATCGAGACTGGAAAGGGGTCAACACATTACAAACCAGTGATACTCTTATCATCTCCTTCACCAATACATTTTTTCTCCTCTACACACTGGTCAACAGTCATTCTTTCACATATCACAATTCTCAAGTGAGAATGACTTGTTGTCATAAACAAAATTAAATTTCCAAATGAGTGAAAATAACAGTGCTTTGTAATAACTATTTAAGGAATTAAATGTTAAATGATATTTTTTTAACGACCAAGCTCGGTGGTGATTCAAATAGGCATAATGCAATAAAATAATCTTAATGTTTGACAGTAGTGTCAAATTTATCCGTATTATTTTTTTTGGAATATTTGTGTACTGAACGTTTAATTTTGGGTAAAAAATAACCCACGGTGGATGAAAACCTTCAGTCAACTGGCGATCAATGTCGGGAGCTGACGAGGCGTGCACACGTGGAGGGGAAGTTGATGTCCATATCATTGAGATCGCTGACGTGGCATTGCCACATCAATTTTTAAAAAAATTATTATTTATATTTCATATTATTAGTTCGTACCAATCAGAGAGCGTTATATAGTGGAACAATGAAAATGGTGAAATGCAAAAAAAGGGACTTGAACCTAGGTCCAAAGGGTGAAATGCAAGTCATTTTGCACCAAATCATGCTACTCGTTCAAGTAATGAATGAAACAAAACGTATTTAATAGATGCTTCCGTTTGAATTTCATAAAAAAAATTAAAACACGTGTTGCTATTCCATTTTCTAATAATAAACGTGATTTCCCCCTAAAAAAAATCTTAGTTTCCCTTTTACCCAGATTATTCCTCAAATATTAGGGTTTATATCCCTAATTTAACAAATCGTTTCCCTTTTGATTCTATCTCCGTCAAAATCAAACGAAACATTTCATCTTGAATCGATTACGCGGTTGACATTCATTGAAGGTGAGTTTTTTTAAACTGTTTGAATATTTTACTTAGTTAGGATAAATATCAATTTTTAGTGGGTTTGTGGGGTTTCCTTCTAATTATTTGTTAGATGTATGGGTTTAGGGTTGGGTTGTTCATAAGCCTATAATTTTATGCAATTTTGTGTTTTGTAATATTTTTGAATTAGTTTTTTGTTTGAGTTTTCTGTTAGGGTTTATATTTGGTTTATATAAACGAATTTTCTGCTTAAATGTTGGGTTTTCTGTTAGGGGTTATATTGAGACCCATTCGAAACTCATAGGAAAATCAACCCCAAACATTATAGAAAACTAATTTGAAAACCCATTCGAAAATATAGAAATAGTGCATTATTCCGTTCAACAAAATAAACTCACATTCGAAAATTATAATTTGAATGATGAAATGTTGTATTGGGTCGATTTAGAAAGTCAAATAATTCTTAGGGATCAATTTGCAAGTTTTGGGAGAATTAGTGGTGAAATTGCTAAAGTGCAATGTTAATGCATTAATTTGGGAGTATTGTGAAAAGTTAAGTGACCTAAGGTTGAGAATTATTATTTTCAAGTACTAGGGAGGTTATTTGGCAGGAGTTGAGTAGAATTGATTAAGTTATAAAATTAGCATTGAATATTTATTTATCGTATTTTATCATATTTTACATAGATACATGTTTAACAAGTTAGTTAGATATTAACATATGTTCGAAAATTGTTTATGTTGAATAATTAATTTTCAAGCAGATCGTGACTAGAATCAAGACCGAAACAAGCAAAAAGAAAAAGGAACGAAGTTCAAGAGGGAATTAATAGAAATAGTAAGTGTTAGTGAGACACCAGTGAGTGCAACTAACTTTTTTAACTAAATAATAAAAGGAAAACTTGCGATGATTCAACCTCGGTCGTTTTTATTTAAAAGGTTTTTTAAGTAATAATTGAGCATAGATTTTATCAAATTGTTTTATTTTATGGTGTATGATTATTTTGAGTATGAACTGCCTAATACAATGTTTATGAGATTTTATTCGAATTAAATAAATGATTAGCTTACATGCAAAATAGCATATGATTTTTAGTAAGCTCATTGTATGTAAGCGAGAGTTAATGGTACAATTGGCATGGCAAGAGGTGGAGTGAACGACTCGTGTGCTTTTGTGGTGCCGAGGTGGAGTAATCTAGTGCAATCTACATGATATTTTATATGTTATATGATACGACACTGTTATTCATATGACTTGTGTGCCTTAGTGATACACGAGGTGGAGTAACTCGGTGCATTTATTAGTAGCAGTTTTGACTGCATAATGAACCCTTACTCATATGACTCATAAAGCATATATTTCTCATGATAATACAATGGACAAATGTTTGATATGAATAAGAAAAGTATGTACTTGAAATGATCTGATTTCGAAAAGAAAAGTACAATTTTACAATGATATGATCTGAAATAGAAAAGTATAGATCTAAAATGGTACAGTACAGTCTGAATTACATATTTTTATAATATATTCTTATTACGAGTTGACATGATTTTTTACATGTTTTATTTTATTAATGTTTTTATACGATAATGTATGTTTTAGAAGTTAAATATTTTATTTATTTTACTTGGTTGTTTCACTAAGTGAAAATTTTAGCGTGCGAGTGTTTAACACGTAGGTGCAAGCTAAAAAGGAAAATAGGAAGCTCATCAACATCATTTTCGAGGAATCAGTTCTGCCACCGGAATTAATAAGGACATCTTGTGTGTTAATTTATTTGATAATAACATGTATATTAAAGAAGATTCTAGTTGCTATGATTCGGGTCTGATTAAGATATTTTTTTTAAATTATGAAGGTTTGGTTTTACAAAGGACATTATTAATTATGAATATTTGTTTATTAAATTGTAACTATTTATGATAGAAACGATTTTCAAATCAGACAGTTTTCTAACAGTTTTAATATAAAATATTTTACAATACAAAACTACCTAAAAGTGTTATTTGAATTGAATTTAGATACTGTTAATATAAAATATCTTACAATACAAAACTGCCTAAAAGTGTTATTTGAATTGAATTTAGATTTTAGTATTTAAATATTAAATTATGATTTTATGTGATTATTAGTTTTAAAATAAAGAAATATTTTTTGAGATTTTAAAGTAATAAACATTTACTGGTTTTCAAATAATAAATATTTCGTATAATTAATATGACACAACTTGTATACGAGTGTGTGTATATATATATATATATATATATATATATATATATATATGATAGATCATTTCAAAAGACAACCATACCTTTATCCCAAGGTAACTGTCGCTGATCCAATTCCAAAATCAAGAGGTAACTTCAACACACAGCGATACAAGTATTTTATCTACTTCCAATTTCCTCCGTAAATTAAATATTGTTCGGCATTCCTTCTATCAAGTGTTGAGGCTAGGGGTGTAAACGAGCCGAGTCGAATTCGAATATTACTGAATTCGACTCGACTCGAAAACTCTAAAATAAAATTTAACTCGACTCGAAAATTCGTGAGTTTAAAATTTTTAAGCTAGACTCGAACTCGAAATCCTGAACTGAATATCATGAGCAGCTCGAAATGAAAAAAAAAATCTTAAACTTAAACTCGATTGAAGCTTCAAACTCAAACTCGAACATCAACCTTAAATACATAAAAATCTTACTCTATTCGATCCGAGTATTTATTGAGCCTAAATCGAATCGATCTCGAGTAGCTCGCGATCTGTCTCGTCTCACTTACAGCCCTAGTTGAGGCTTCCAAGCCCTCTAAACCTCCAGAACTATATATATTCTTCGAAGTTCCTAAAAATATTCCAAAGTGTAAATATTATGGTCAGCTACAATCTTTTAATTGAAACTAAATCTTCTATCTGAAGTTAAAAATTAAATCTTTTATCTGAATATGTCTCAGACCTAACATCAATCCTAAAAATCAATATATAAGTTATCTGACAATCGTATCAACGTATCTGAGACCTCACATCAATCTCAAAAACCAATATATAAGACTTAAAAAAGAGGTTTTTCTTTCTCACGAGCTTTCTCTCTCGACGATTGTTTATTATCGTTTTCAACTCGTCTACTCTCTATTTTCACTTCATCGAGTAACAGATCACAACTATCTGTTCAACTAAAAGCGTTGAACCGTCAATGACCACAATCATAATTTTTTTCATCAACAAAAATATGAAAAATAAAAGCTCTAAATCTAATCAATTGACTTGTGACTCAATAAGAGCTTTAATATTCAGTATAGATAGGGCAAAAACAAACAACCAATCAATGGCTTAATACCAAAAACAAAAGAAGCGTCTCTGATAAGAATGAAACATCAAACATCTCTTGTTCTGTTTTCCCCAGCGTAGCATAATAACGCTATCGATTTTGGTTTCACTTCCAAATCAAATGATGCTTTCGGCAAACTATCAACAAAACTCTTTTCCATCATTTTATCATTGCAGGATAATTTGAACAGTTAAACATATGCAGAATATTTTTAAACAATAAATTCTAAAATTAATATGACAAGTGTGCTATAGTAAGAATATATACCAATTTTCTTCCACGCGGAATAAGGACGCTTGAATTAACGTGTAAGAAAACGCAGATGCTGAGATGAAATTCTTGTCGTAAAGCTAGATCTGTAGCATATTACCAGTACAGATGCTTCAAAGATGATGTTTTTATTTAGACACCGAAATTGCAGACCTGGACAAACTCCAAATCATAGTCCACATACTTGGTCCAAAGAGGCTTGAACTGGTTCATGGCAATATCAAGCCATGGCTTCATGTTACCATTGAAGTGCACCACCGCGGCAGTGCTGATCTCATCCATGCTAATGCTTGGATTGTAGCCGAGTCCAAGTACATGCCAAGACTTGTGCAACGGTTTCGTTGTGGAGTAAAATGTGATCAAACCGGGAGGCAATGTTCCCAATTTCCACAAGGTCCGATTCTCGTTCTGCAAAGCCCAAGTATCCATCAATTTCCACAGGAAGCCACAAAGAACAACATAATTCAACATCCTAAAGAACAACTACTGCTGGCATGTCCACAGTTTCATTCTCATTTCATATGCTTTAAGCTTTGAAAGAGGACAATCAAGCTACGAGCTAGACTATAAAAAAGGTTGCAGGCACAGCATCCAATAAGCATAAATCAAGCACCAAAAATAGCACAAGCATGGCATAATAAATCAATCAAACAGCTAAAGAGTGCGAATGAAGCATACGAGATTCTGCCAGTAATGATATTCCTCTGTACATTTTTCCCTCCTCCAAGCATCTAAATCAAAGAAATTCATCCCATAAGCCCAGGCACAAGCCTTGGGGTTGAACTTCTGCTTAATCAAAGGATGTGAGAAATTCATATACTGTGCATATCTATGGAAAGACCCAAAGCAAGTCTCCACCGCCCCATTCACTTTCCCATCCATATCAATCTTCCACAACCCTGTCAAATCCTTTTGCACAACAATATCATCATCCAAAAACAAGATCCTATGCAATGTGGGGTACATCTCGGGTAAATAAAACCTCAAGTGATTCAAGATAGACAAATACTTGGGGTTCCTAAACTTCATGTTAGTTGTATCTTTAGTCGCATTCTCAAGAGTGTTCTCGAAGTAAAACTTCTGCAAATTTGACGATTCTAGCTGTCTTAACACCGGAACATAAGATGAATTCAAAAACTTATAATCCTCAACTGCTTTAACTTCAATATGTGCCCCATTATAATCTTTCAATTTAAACATAACCTGCATTGCTCCGAGATTCATCTTGTCAGTCACCACATGGAAAACGTGTTTCCATGGCTCTTTGGCATTCTTCGTGGCTGAATTGACCACTACGGATGCTGCAAGTACATTATCGGAGAAAATGGCATAATGATAAAGCTTAGGGTCCTCGAATTCAGGAGGAATCGGCTTCCCTTCATCTGTATATTTCTCAGGATGTGCGATCCGTTCCTCCATCAATCTCATTGCCAAACAATGTAAGCTTTTAGGGATTGATTTGGCAGCGATGAGGCTGGAAAATGCGCCTTGCTTTTTCGCTTTTGTCAGCTGCTCATTGACGGCAAAGATCGTATCTTTCAATTTCTGGATCTTGAGTTGGTTATCAAAAGATTCCTTGGCTTCCGAGACCATTTGGCGGGTTGCTTTGATCCGCTCTTTGACTTCTTTCTCAAACTGCCGGAGCACCGTCTCGTCAATGGAGAGCGAATCGGCTTCAAAGAGAGCCCGATAAGATGGCTTGTTAATGAGATCCGAGTAGTTTCGTGATAGATCAGCGAAAACTCTGACGACCTTTGAGTTTTCGAGCTTTAATTTCCGAGCGTAAGAGGCGTAGGCAAGAACAAGAGAGCGGTGGTCGTCGGCTTGCTTCCGGATCTGATCCAGTCGGGGCTTTAGCGGATCCGATTTAAGTGCTAAAACGGACCTCCTCGTGGATCCAATTCCAGTGGGGAAACCCTAGAAACACAAAGGAACGACACCGTTCCATCAGTCATCCTGGCAATGTTCATTTCTCGTGTACTTTCCTTTTTTAATTAATCATTTAACAAAATGAGTGGGGAAAATCGAGTTAAATTTTCAGTTAAAATAAGGAGAAAGTCAGTTAGAACTTACAAAGTTGGTTTGGAGATGAGGAGAGTGAGTGTGGGAAGTGAAGAAGAACGATAGAGCAAAGAAGAAACAGATTGCAACCGTAATTGCAAAGGCCAATAATCTAACTGTAAATCCAAAACCTCCTCCGCTGCCGCTTCTTGCTGTACGGGGATTCGGCATCTCTCCGATCAGTCACCGGCGCATCAAACGGTCTAAAAAAAGGAAGTAAATGGAATTATGATGGCCGAAACACAACGGCACTCTCTCACTCACTGCCTTCGTTTGTGTTGGTTTTTGGCTGAGTTTCACTTTCTGATGATGCTAGTGAGATTGTTATGATAAGGGTGTCGTTTCGGGAGATCAACGGCTGTGATTTCGCTTTAGTGGGTCGGTGATAAGCGAAAGCTAGCTGTGCGCCACTTGGAATGTGGCGGCAACGCGGGATCCTGTGTGAGTGTGAACACTTGTATATATATACATTAATACATATACTACCACCGGCCAAAGTGGTTGAACAATGTAATGAAAAAAAATCATAACTTAATGTAATTGAAGAATTATTTACTTAAATAGGATGATTATTACTGTAACACTATAGGTCGACCTACCTAACGTGCATGGCCCATGCATGCGAGAGAAAAGCTGCAATAGCGAGAAAAAAGAAAGAAGAGTTATTGCAACATAATGACGCATTGTCGCAAAGAACACTTGGCGATCTATAGAGGTTATTCGGAGCACTTGGCGACTTATAGTGTCACTGTAACAATCACTTTACTTAAGCAAATAATTCTTCGACTGCATTATGTGAAGAATTTTTTCGTATTGCATTATTCAACCACTTTTGCCTACTACCACGTCCCTCTGAATGAAATTAAATAAAAAATCAAAATGCTTTTGTTTCTGTAAACTATTTTTCATTCAATTTTTAAAATTTAAAATTTAAAATTATTTCTGTTTTAATCATGTAGTGTTTAACAACAACCTTACCAAATCGTTGTGTTCGAGAAGAAAATCCGAAAGACTCTTTTGACAATAAATTATAAAAAAAAATTAAATAACGAAAACATGAATCAAAATAAGTGACAAAGGAAAGGGATCTACCCATAAACAATTTGCTGTTCAACTCAGAGGCTCGTAGACCCCGGCTAACCAAACAAAAGAAAATAACCAACCAAACCAAGTATCTTGCATTGAAGGTTATATTGCAATATAAATAAAAAAATGATTTAATATTTGGCTTTTAGAAACATTTAACAGCCATAATTAAATATGACAAAGTAAACTTTTAAGCATTTAAAGATGATAATCAGATTGAGAGACCAATGGTTGAAGAATGGTCAAATGTCAAAAACATTAATGATGTCTTTCTGTTAAAAAAAAAAATCATGTTAGTGTACCCCAATCAGGCAATTATGTAGAAGACTAGAAGCCGACTCAGAAACATGATATTTTAGGAGAGTTATCAATTGAAGAAACAAATGGTTGCATTTTGGCACACATGACCCGGGGAATGGTGCATTGTTTGAGAATAGAGAAATGTAGGACATATCATTCATTTTCGCGGAGACCATGCCTTCTTTATAACCACATGGTTCTTGTCAGATTTATTCAAGACACCAAGTTTAAGATAAAAGCGAAATGTTGTTAGGCCTATTTAGTAATGCTTACCCTTATTAATGACATGGCCTTTCAATTATATCTGCGATGATATGAATAGGGTCAAATTAGGTTTCTGCCGAATTCGTATAAAAGAGTTCATATCGTGTGTAATGCAAAAGTGGGGTAACTTTAGGGAGTGATTTACTTTGAGGAGTGGTTAAAGAGTTGTAATTTAACAATTTTACCTACTTATTATTTTTATAAAAGGGTTAGCCTTATTAATTAATGAAATGGCCTATTTAACCAGTTGGTCTAGTGGGATGAGACACTATGTCTCTTAAGCAAGGTCAGAGGTTCGAATCCTGACGTTTGTGAATAGAGCAAGTTAGGTTGGGAGGGTTGCCCTCGCCTCTGCAGTACCCGAACTGGATTAGTCGGTCAATAGATCGGATACTAGTGATTAATTCAAAAAAGAGAGTTGTAATTTAATAATTTTACCTATTTATTATTTTTATAAAAGGGTTAGCCTCTTTTCTTAATTAATATATGAAATGATTATTCTTTTTTCGAATACAATTATTGTCGAAGAGAGCAACACAAATGTATTTCACTTCTTTATTTTGAGCGTACAAGATTTAGAATATTGTGTTAACCTTTAGAAGCAATGTTCATTATAGTAGTTACCGATTTAAATCAATCCAAGTGAAATTTCTTCCAACAAAGCGACTTCTATTAAGGTACAATAAATCATTCTACTTAATTTATGATTGCTAGTTAGTCAATACTAATAACATTATTTTTGAAGCAATATTATTTACCAACATATAAACATTGGAGTAAGGAAAAGTTAATTTTGTTTTAATTTGTTCATATTGAAGTTAATTTAACAAAAAAAATAGTTCAAAGGCTGAAATAAACATTGTAGAAGCTTAAAGGGTTAAATTGATAAAGTTGGAGGTTAGAAAGATCCATAATTAAACAGTTGACATGCCTCGGATGCCCAGCAGCAAACCAAAGGACAAATGTGGAATATAAGAGATGAATGATATGTAATGTAGGTGAAATTAACTTCCATTCGACTGCCTGTAATAATATAGAATTCCATCATGCGAACTGAAGATGGGGTCTACAACAAGCTCGTTTTAATTAATCAATGATTTCAAGGATAAGCATAAAGCACACGGCCCAAACCCGCATTTCTAATCGTAGAGAACGCTCGTCCTCTTCAATAGGAGACCTATGACTCGTTCTGATGGGTGGATGAAGCGGCCGCATGGAACTATAAAAATCAACTTGAATGGCTGCTGCCATTGGTGAGTTCATCACAGTTTGGTTGTTGCTGGCCATGCACGATCCAGGTTTGGTTGACGCTAGGGCGTTTAACGATAGGTTAAATTTAACACCCAAACCCATGTTTACTAGTGATTTTAAGAAAATACTTCTAATCAAGCGTAAAATAAAAGCAAAATGTGAAGATTCAGTAGTAGGCTTTCTTGGCATGCTTGGTGGTACCAACATGGTGCAACCACCCAAACCCTTTCAGGGCTTTGGAGATCTTAACAAAGTTAGGCCTCCCCATCCCCAAATTCATCTTCCCTGTCGAGAACTTGAGTGCCTGTAAACAGCACAAATGACCATCCGACTCTTCCTCATAGTCATCGTCGTCATCATCATCATCAATGCCATTGCCACCTTTCTTTCCTTTCCATCCAACGCTTTTCAGCTTTGACTTATTGGAATCACTGCTTTCATATGCTTCCCATAGTAAATCCATCCCTTCACCACCTCCTCCATCCGTCGCCGCCGTCACCTTGTGTCTCTCCTCGAAAAGCTTGCATGCCAATGTCCTCTTCCATTCCTTTTCTTTCCTCATTGACCCCAAATAACTTAACCCCGTTGTTTCGCTGGTAACGCTTTGGGAATTCACCATTGCTTTGTCTTCAAGCTCCCCGCCTTTTTTAGTTCCCACCGTAGCCTCGGGATCATTTACTTTGCTCCCCATTGCCTCGGATTTCTCCTCTTTTTCTCCCTTTTCAGACGATAAGTTTTCGACCGCATCTTTTTCTTTCAAAAGCTCTTCAAAGATCTTCACTACGGCATTTACCTGAACAGTTTCCGGACGTGAAATCTCCCCTGATTCTTCATCAGAAGCACCAGTCGTCAATGTTTCAGGTTTGTGAACCGAAGCATCTTCAAGTTCATCAACAGCTTGTAAGCAATCAACAATGGCTTCCGACCCTAAAACCCCATCTGGGTTTTCTCTAATTTCTTCAATGGTTGAAGCTTCAAACACGATCTTATACGCTTCAAGCTCTTCCAAGCATGGTAAGCCATCACATTCATTGTCAACTACTTGGGACCTTAATACCGTAAATAATGCAAGAAACAAAAGGGAAGTGGTACCAAAGAGCGGCGAAAGAAAAGAGAAAATATTGAAGAGATAAGGAGAGAAGAAGACGAAGTAAGAGAAATAGAGAGGATTAGAAAGAATGTAAGAGCAGAAAAGCATGAAGTTTGAAAGCAAAAGGGTTGAAAACTGGGTTTTCTTCTCGGCAACAGCCAAAGAAAACTCGGTCATTTTTTTATGACGAAATCTAGCGAGCAAAAACACAGAGAATTCTGGGTTTTGTTTCGTTTGATCTAGTTAAGCAAATGGGCAATGAAAAAACTCCCGAAGTGCACGAAAACTGGGGAGTTAGAGCGGCGTGAATGACGGGAAGAGATGGATATTTTAAGTACAATCGACAAGAAAGGAAAGCTACTTTGGAAACTTTTATCGTGTCTATAACCACCAAGCATGATGAAAATTTTGTGCCTTTTCTATTTCTAATCAGCTATGATGTCGTGTATATAATCGGCAGGGGATATATATATATATATACACACTCACACGTAGAAGATGAACGTTAATTGAATTTTTTACCAGGAGATTCCCACTCCATTGAAATTACGCCTAAATTTGTTCTCATGAAAGTTTCTGGAGCCAATCTAGGAGAAATCCACATGGAATCATGATTTCATGTAACCAACTACTTCCATTTAGGTGACAATCGGATAGGTAAAAATCGTAAATTGTGAGGATTCGAACCGACGGGTGGGAAGTAACCGAAATTTTCATCCACGGGAATGGAGACGAGGGAAGTTTTATCTCTGAAGTTCAAATGAGAATGAGGACGAAGATTGCATATCCGAACTGTGGGATAACCAAATCGTACCGTGTGAATCATCGTGGAGATCCCTGAAAAATATCCGTAGGGATCCCTGCTATTTTACAAAAATTTAAAAATATATTTATAATTATTTACCAATATACCCTTATTATATATTTAAATATATATATATATATGATAAGATTGTGTTGTCACTATTACATCTTAAAAGAACTAAAATTGAAGTTTAGATATATTCTCATTTAGTATACATTGGTTTATTGAGATTTGAAAATTGTTAAGATTATACATATACATTGGGTGTTAGATGAATACTGACGTTTGAAACTTTTATATTATATATAGAGATCAATTTGAGACAGTCTGATATATCTTACAAGTTTTAAGTGTTGCATTGATTTCAAAAATGTTTATTTATTTTTTGAGAAGATGATTAATCGAAATCTGCAGGGATCATAAGGGATGTGTATGGGAAAAAAATTACCAAAACATATAATGATGATTTCCCAAAACTGTACCCGCAAGTGTTGGGTATAAATTGGATAATGTAAAACTGTCCCTACTCTGACCCGTTTCCACCCTACTTCCATTCATTACTGCCGGTCTGCAAATTGGTAAAATACGGGCGACGTAGTGGAGAATGAAGGACGTCGTTAATATGGATGAAGCCATTACGGTTAGGAATCAACATTTTATTTATAATACAAGCATCTGATTTTATTAAAAGAAAATATACTTAGAGTTACTATGAATCTAAACTAAAAGCATAATTAAGATATTTTATATATCCATTGATACGATAAATTAATCATTTGAGATCGAACAAAGATCAAAATATTAAAAACCAATCAAAAAACTCGAATAATATTGATACAAATAGATTTGATTGCATTTGTAACCGAATCACAAAAGAAAACCAAAACTACTGAAAAACCAAGGAAAAATTGCATATTAGAGTCGAGCGATGTGAGAAGACTATCCACGAATGCAATCGTGTATCCGTATCCAATCCGAGAGTTTAAAGTAGAAAATATCAGCTAGATAACAAATAAACGTCATCTTGATTTGTTGAGATATCATCAAATCAAAAGTTGAGAAAAAATTAAAATGAAACAAAGACCAAACAACCTTTAAAGCATGTCAAAAAGACATAAAAACATGTCAAAAGACATAAAAACATGTCAAAAGACATAATTATTAAAAACTAAAAAAATAAAGATAAATAAAAATGTAGTATTAGAAAATAAAAGAAAACAATGAATACCAATGATCGAATGTAAGAATAATTCCTAATGGTTTAGATTGAATGTAAGAATAATTCTAGGTGCTTGAAATGATGTTTGGAACCAAATTTGGAACTTTGCTAGGCTTTGAGGACATTTTCGCAAGCTTTGATAATTTAAAGGGTCAATGTACAATTGTGGAAAAATTGAGATCCTAGGCTGAAATTTAGTGTTAGAAGATTTGAGGAAGTTTACAAGTTAGGAACGTAATTGTAAGTTGAAGGAAATTTGGTGGTGAGTTAGTGAAGTTGTTGGGGACACTTTAGAAAGTTTAGGAAATTTAAAGGATTTAGATGCAAGTTTCGGAAATTTTGGATGCAATGCTGTAAATTTTAGTTAAAATATGGGAATATTAAATTTGGATTAAGATGAAAAGTTTCACAAGATTAAGGGAGAGAAATTAGTTTCAAATATGTGTCGATTGTTTTTTTAGAAAGTTGTTTGAATATAAATGAATACTATATTATTAGTTAAAGTACTAATTAGTATTCAAAATTGTTTATGTTGGAAAATTGATAATATGAAGATCGTGATGGAAAACAAGAAACAAATCGAACCAAAAAAAAGGATTAAGTTCGAGGGTGCAAGGAAGATAGGCAACATGTGAGTGTAACTAACTTTTTAACAAAAAAATTCAAGGACAACTTGCGATAAGTCAACCTAAATCAATATGAAAAGAAAATGTTTTTAAATAGTATTTTAAATACATACATATTATTTTTATTTTATTTCATAGCATCTGAATATTTTTAGGTACATGCTACCTAAAACTCTGATTTTTATGAGAACAATTTTATATTTGATTATCTAAATTGTTTTTTAATGCATATTAGTAATCGAATTTAAATGAAGCCCATTGTATGATAATGACGGTTAGTGGTACAATGACATGCCATGAGGTGGAGTGAATCTATATTTGTTTCAGATCTTGTACCAAATGGAACACTCATGCTCTGACTCGGCGTACTTTAGTGGTGCACGAGGTGGAGTGATTCGGTGCAACTCTTTGACGCTATACATATATGATGTGGCACCAAGATGGGTAACTCGTGCTCTGACTCGCGTATCTTAGAGATACACGAGGTAAAGTGACTCAGTGCAATATGTTATGATGATGAATTTGTATATAGTGCTCTCACCCGTTATTTGACTCGCGTACCATATATTCTCATGAAAAATACGGTGGGCAAAGTAAAGGATCTGATTTGAATAAAATATGAAAATTATATAATCTGAAATTAAAATAAGTACAATTTAGAATGACTCAATACAGTGACTTATTGAATTTTTATAATAATGTTTTATTTCGAATATTTGATTAGATGTAAAATATATATATGTTTTATTTTGATGATGTTTATATATGAAATGATTTACGGTATATGTTAATTATTTTAAGTATGTTTTTATGTTGCCTCACTAAGTGGAAAACTTAACGTGCGATTGATTCGCACGTAGGTAAAGAGAAGTCGGCTGAGTGAGGAGCCAAGCATGACATCTTACATATTTTGAAGACCAGTTCAGACAGCCAAAATCAGTATGACATTTTTTCGATGTTTTTGATGTTCCTTAGTCGGCATGTACATATTTTTATTTTGGGACTCTGATTCAAATATGCCTTAACTCTTTTTGATCATGTGATGAATGAATAATATTTTATATATTTTACATTATATATTTAAATTAAATATTTTTAATGTCGAATTTAAAAGAATAAAATTTTATCGATTTTCGGACCGTAAATATTTTATTCGACTGATGTGATATATTTGACTCATATACGGGACATATATGAGTTGAGGGGGTACATATCATGCCCAAGGAATCCCTCTGTTCAGGATGCCGACAGGAGAGGTAACCACTTCGTGAAAGACATAGTCATTTCTGACCTTCCAAAGATGCCAAATAATAGAAACAAAGAGGGTAGGCCATGGAATATTTCAATCAGTTACAGTGGCATTGGAATTAATACCCTCGTGAAACCATTCATGCAAAGGTAACAAATAAAACAAATGACGAAGGGCAGGCAGTAGCCGATTATGCCAAACAACCTGAGCTTCCTTGTAATCTCACAATATATGAATTGTTGATTCTTCGAAAGTAGCACATTAATAACAATAGAGAGAGTGCCCTACAGAGCGACAACATCTCTCTAGATTAGTCATTAAACGATTACGATAAGCAATCCATAAAAAAAGCTAGAGACGTCGGGGCACATGAATTTTCCAGATAGAATTCCAAAACTTATTTTTTGGATCCTAAGAGAAATTGGCTACACGAGAATAGTCCGATTAGATATCAAACTGGTGCATGGGATTCCATCACCAAATGATACGATCCTTATCGGTAAGAGGATTAGGACAATTGATGCAAAATATGCATGACAACTTCATGCGTAAAAATACTGGAAAGCTTACTATAATACCAATCCCCAATATTGTTTATGAAACCCTATAAAGAACAAGCAGGAAAGAGAAAGTCGGTATTGACCACATGCTCACTTAAAGGGCCAAGTGATGGCACCACTGACGTCATCCAAAGGTCGAACAGAATTGTCATCCCCTAAAGACCAGGCAATACTAAATTTTAGTTCATTCCGATACGTGGAAAGAGCCCGCCAAAGGGGAGTGCAGTTGGGGCGAGAGATTGACTTCGGACAAGGACCAACCATTTTATATTTTTGGCTCAAAAGATTTATCCAAAGAGCTCTAATATCCGTGAGCAAAGAGAAATCAATTTTAAGGATGAAGGCCGCATTGAAATCGTGGACCTTCCAAATACCAAGACCTCATTTTCAAGGAGTTGACAAAGAGTTTCCCAGTTAACAAGGGACATTTTGACTGTCAAATCACTGGAACTCCAAATGAATTTCCGGACAAGTTTTTCAATGTAAAGACATACTTTTTTTTATGGAACATTGTTGATTGCATGAAATAAACAGAATAGCCAGCAATGTGGACTTGGTCAGAGTGATACGTCCTGCCATGGATAAAGAACGGGCAGCCCAATTGCTAAGACGAGCTCGTGTTGTATATGATAAAATCATAGTCGGAACATTTGGCTCTCATGTGTAAGATTGGTACGCCAAAGTAATTTTCGAGATTTTCCACAATCCGAAAGCCAAGAAAAGAACTAATAATATCGGATTGAAGTAGCGGATCCGTGTTGGGCAAGAAATAAATATTAGTTTTTCTAGCATTTACACGATGTCTAGAGGAGCTTCCAAAGGCCGTAAGAACATCCTTGATAATTCTTGCCTGAGACATATCGACTCGAGCATAAAGGATAAGATCATCCGCAAAGAACAGATGAATTAGAGGAACACTATTTTTCACAAACCGGAAAAGGTCCCAACTAGCATTAGAGATAGAGTGATTAATCAGATGTCCTAAACATTCCATTGCAAGGATAAAAAGATAAGACGACAAGGGATCATCACGTCTTATACCTCGCTCAGGATAGAAAGTCCGAGTTAGAAAACCATTCCATTGAACCTGAAAACTGGAAGAAGCAATACTACCAATAATAATAATGAGATGAATACCCGGGGGAATCCAGAATCCAAGATCCAGGAGAGAATCTGCGATGAAGTTCCAATGGAGCCTATCAAACGTCTTTTCCAAATCAACTTTAATAGCCATCCACCCTTTCTTCAATTTGGAGGATCTCATTGAGTGAATAACTTCCTGGTTGATAATATTGTACTCCATAATGGAACGACCAGAGATAAACTAGTTTGGTTTCCATCGATAAGCAACGAGAAGAGAAATTTAACTCGACTAACAATGATCTTGGAGAGTAAGTTATAGAGAACTATACACAGACTGATAGGATGAAAGTCCAAGAAAGATTCACAAATATCCCCTTGGGGACAACGACAATGATGGTTTTATTTAGAGACCTCTTATTTATATCACCTTTCTTTTTCAAGTACTTAAAAGAAAAAGATGATATATTTTAGATTTTTTTTGTGATACAAACCTATTATTAATCATATATGTATAAAATAATTTGGTGATTAAAATAAATAATAATAATAATAATTGGATGACTAATGGGTATAGTTTATCCAGTTATTTATATCAAAATACATATGTAAATATAATGCAAATACGCTTTTGAAACAAGTGTAGTACTTATAAAAGAAAACTTATACGGGCATACGTTCCCCTCGTCACATTCAAAGACTTGGCCTTACTTCGTTCTTTGCCTGTTCAGCCTTTGGTTCACTTTGACTTTTTTCTTCCTCCTCTATTCCAATATATAAGGTTAAACAAAATTTGAATAACTGAAACTTTTTAATAATTATTAGATTAATATTTATGTTTGAATCAAAGTTTAAATTGAGTCTCTCGATTTTATATGGTATATATGAATCACATATGAAAAAAATATGTATTATATATCATTATAAAATAATATTTAAATTAAAATTAAATTATATCATAGTATTATAAATATTTATAATTAAATTTAAATAAAACTTAAAAATTTAAATAGACTCGACTCGAAATAATTTAAATTCAATTCGAGTTATGAAAATCTATTTAATTGCTCACCCCTACCAGCAGCTCCGCCACCCTTTGATAAAGAAAAATTATTTGTCAAAAAGGTCGTAAAGATAATGGATGCATGAGCCACCACCACCATCTTCTTGGAAACACTCTCTTCGTTCATTCTTTTCTTCTCTCCCCCATCTTCCTTCTTTCCCTTTACCAACAAAATCCTCAAAATTTACCAGATTTCAACATTGAGAAGTACCCGCCTTTCTATCTCTTCTTCTCATCGGTTTCTCTGTGTCTATTGTCGACCACTACCTTTTCTTTCCCTTTCTCAGGTACCAAATAACAATGACTATTTTATCTTTCTGTGATTTATCTTATCCTTTGTAATGGGTGATTTTTGCAGTTCCTGATAATGGGCTCATCACCATTTTTTGCTTTGATGGGTTTGGAAACTTTTGGTTTTCTGGGGGTTTTTTCCCCTTTGATTGTTCTGTGTTTTCTTTTTTGGGGTTTGGGGTTTTCCCCACTGTCTCTGCTTCCAAGAAGGTGGTAGGATGGTGGGGTTGACTTATTTTGCTGCAGAGATAGTTGGGACTTTTATCAGGCATACATATTGGGCAACTTTGTTAGTTTCAAACGATGGAATTTTTTGGCTTTAGATTAATTTATGTTATCTTTTAGTTTTACATAAAAAAAATTACTGCCGAACTTTATTTCACCTTGCTCCCTTATCCGGGGCCTGGTTAGCTTTAGGAACTGAGTACCATTTCTTTAGTTTCATTTGTGAATGATTTTTGTTTTTACCAGCCATCAACTCTGTTGTTCCTTTTTGCATCTAATCGGTACATGGGATTTAGCCCCATGCTTTTCTATGAGGCATTATCGAATCAAACTTTGAAGCTGAACATGCTCAAAAGAGCCTAAAGCACTTTGCTTTGATCATTCGAATGTTTGCCGAATGACACGGTCCCGTAGCTGTTAATGAGAAACGGGTTGGTTGTCAGCCAACGGATAGTGTAAGAAGTACTTGCAGATGCCATTAATTTTTTTGTAACAAAAAGGTTGACTAACATCTGGGAACTTCACCTGGCAATTTCATTTTCCCTTTAGTTATTTGTCTAGATTGCCTAGGTGCATCAGGTTAATTGGATGGACTCAGTTTTGATGGTCTTCCTTGTTCATTTTGACGATTGCTGTCTTATGGTGATGTTTCCTATATATATCTCTCAGCAACCTTCTGTTTTTATCTGCCATCTTGTTCATTTTCTATTTTGTTCTTCTTTAATGTTTGTATAAAATGGTTTGATCCTCTTCTAAGTTCTAACTCGCCCTTCCTTGGTAATCTTAGGAGCACATACACAAGGATAAATGCATAGGACGATAAATTAAACCATTGTTCACTAATTAAGGGATTGCCAACATGGTGAGCTTACGGAGACGGAACCTTCTTGGGCTCTGCTCTGGTAATGTTTAATTGGGATGTGCTTTATATTTTATAATTAATTGCTTCCATGGATAGCATTGGATATGATCTTTCACTATGTATTGTCATGTGAAATCTGTCTTTCAATTCTTTGCTTTTGTTTTTTAGGGTCAGTTTGTTTGAGTGAATTGAAGAGTACTTAAAATTTTAAACAACTCCGAAATTATTATTGATTAATGACCTTTTGTAGGGAAGAGTTCCTTTTTGACTCCACTCTCCAGATTCTTTTGTAATGGAAACGCTCTTGAAAATTCAAGTCAGAATGCAAAATCAATTAGCGTGCATCCTATGCCCTCATATTCCATCAACCAAATGCTCGGGGTAAGAATGCATATTAATCAACCGATTAGATATAGTATATCATGATTTCACAGTTTATATGAGTTGGCTTATCACTTTCTTTTACATTTTGTATAAACTTAGTAGCTTGTAGAGATTCTTTTATCTTTCTTCCCTTTGTTAGGGATGCTTGCCTTTGCCTTTAAAATGCTTCACAAATTTATGCATTCTTATTGTCCGCTTTGAAATATTTATCTGGGCCTTCAATCTTATTTCATTTTGTCTGTTCTTTTAATCCTGTGCCAATCTTGAACCGGTCTTGTAAATTGTAACTTTCCCATAATTATATATTTACTAGTTTGTCTTGCAAAATGTAACGATTCTAGGAGTGAGTCATTTCTTCCCCCTGTGTCCACAGAAAGGGAAAAAGGAAAGACCATCTTTCGTTATGGAAGAATCTCTCCTCCCTTATTGTGGATCTTCTTTAATACTATATTTCTGGAAGGATTAGTAATATCCAATGATGCAAACATGACAGAATGTATCCTTAGGTGATAGTTACAGACATTACATTTAATCTTCAACATTGTTTTTCTATTTGTACTTCCATGGTAGCCAGTTGTCACAAATGCATCTTTCAGATTGACCAGCGTTCTTGGTTGGTACGGTAGTTATGGTTATGTGAATATCATAGCCAACTGTTGGTGGTATGTATGGTTATGTTATGCAGCAGTGAACAAAAGGTGGATCCATGAGAAAAAGTAGGGCATGATACATGCTACTTGTTTGGACCCCTTTAACTGATCTGGATGAGAATCATCAAATGGAAAGACTCGTGTCTTCACTCACAACGCCAATGGTAATTTTTGTACTTTGTTCTGTGAATGCTAAGTATGCAAACCTAAGGATTCTTAGGCACCTCTGCCATTTGGGGGAGTAAAACCATTAACTCTTGATGCCTGGTCATTGCATTGCATCCCGGGGCACCCACTTATTATAGAATCTGTTTTCACTGTTCCTTTTGAGCAAGAATCTCAGGGTAAAAAAGCTAGTTGTCAATTAAATGGTACTTTTAGGTGCCCCTAGGTGCATCATACTGGTCATGATAGATAAATACTGAGTGGCATGTACTATTCAATTTCTGCTTATTACTAAGCAGTTCTGTATAACTATTTCATGCTGTTTCTCAGGAAAGCACTGCTGTGGTTGGCTCTGGATCACCAAACGTTTCTGCTTCTGGCTCTGGTTCATCAAAAGAGCCTCATTATCAACCTTTTCCAGGTTCGTCTCTTAGCCTGTGTTTGATATGTTTGTCAATATCAATACAGCTGGAAAACTTCTAGTTGTTTTGTTTATGGCTTGATGTTGGTCTTTCCTTCCTTTCTTCCTCTTCTCTCTGACTTCTTTTTTCTTCGTACTTCTGTTTTATGTTATCCTTAACAAGCAGGATAGAAAAATTAACCTAAAATATAGTGCCTTCATTTTTCTTTCTCTGGCTTTGATGGGCATATAAAATACATAAAAATGGGGGATTGATTAATGCAACCGGTTGCCTGTTGAATGATATTTATTTGGGACCTTTAACATCAGCAAGTCCAATTCAATCTACCTGAATCTGTTTTCAAATATTAGGTTCCGTTCCTGCATCATTAGTTTGAGCATGACCGCATGCTAAACTAATTTCTAGATAATAATTTTGGGGAAGGATGTTGTAAAATGGATTTTATCTGCAGATATATAATGTACAAAATTGAGGTGTTCTACCTTTAAGTATTAGAATCCTGTTGATGTGTGTTTTTGGCCTTTTCTCTTTTCTTTTCTTATTCTTTTGGGGATACCTAAGAGAGCGGCTTGTGATAAATGACATCTTTGACACAAATACAAAAGCAATTCGAGGAAGAGACAGTATATCACCCTGTTTGTTGGTTAGAATAAAGAGGAAAAATGATATATCTCGGAACTGAGTTCATGCCATTGCCCTTCTGGATAAAGCATGTCACTACTCATCAGCATCAAAAGTGGATGTTAGGAGCCATTTTAACTTCTACACTTGACTGATGCCAATGTACGATTTCATTATTTATAGGGCAACCAATCAAGCGCAGGAAGCAACATAGGAGGAAGCACGCTCAAAATCAAGAACCTTGTCTAATGAGGGGTGTATACTTCAAGAATATGAAATGGCAGGCCGCGATAAAAGTTGACAAGAAGCAGATTCACTTGGGGACTGTTGGTTCACAAGAAGAAGCTGCCCGTTTATATGACAGGTAACAACTTGTCTTTTTCCTTCTTACTTGTATTGCTTGCTACTACAAATTTTCTGCAAATTCTGATCTCCTTGAGGTTTACTCTAGTATTCTGATAAAAACAAGAGAACAAGTTTGATTCCTTTATTTTCACACTTACCATGGGTCGAGGTAAAATTATTCTCTTCATTTTGTTAACGAGTTTGTTTAAAAATGTTCATGTACTACTGATGATAAATACGATAGAAGTGGTATATTTACAGTTTAATGATCAGAGAAAAACGTGGGAGGGGTATTTATCAGAAAGCTGTGAAAATCATGTGATTCCTAACTTCTCAGAAAGGATTTGGAACTCATTGGTTGATATTTTTATCTATAGAGCCGCTTTCATGTGTGGAAGGGAGCCGAACTTTGAGCTGTCGTCGGAGGAAAAGCAAGAGCTTAGTAGATTCAAGTGGGATGAGTTTTTGGCATATACTCGCCGTTCAATCACCAATAAAAGTAACCCTTTCTTTATGCTTAAGATCCTTATCATCTCGGCTCTTTTAATCTAATCGAACACTTAGATGTGCCTATTTTGAAATGAATACAACGTTACAGAATACAAGCAAAGGGTTGGGGCTGAACCCCAGAAGATGTCTGAACCTGCAATAGAGAACGGTTATCCAGACAGCAAACGAGTCGATAGCTCCTCAGCTTCAGAAGAGGCAGGGCCAGACTCTTCAGCCTCATGAAAGATTTTGAGAGCGAGGCTGATTAATCTGATGCGTAGGTAGTTGCTGGGTCTCCCTTTTTAGGGTTGAAATTCTATTCGAGAGCCGAGTAATATATATATATATATATATTATCATGTACCAAGCAGATATTATATTGCTAGTAGTTTTCATCAGTTAACGTACTGCATAATATGCTTGAACGCTCAAACAACTGTGTTTAAACAAGTGATGTATTAAGATCCTCTCTTCCTACACCTGCTGTTAATCCCTTTTTAACTCTTTTCTCTTCTCTCTATGATTTCATCTTACGTATTTGACTAAGGATATAGATTGTTCTCGTGATGGATTTATATAATATTTGATTCTGATTAATTTATTAAAATTAAATTCAGAAACCAATGGATCAAGGGTTTGTTTCTTTCATGTAATTTATTTTACCAGAAATATTTTCATTATTTGATTGGCATAAATTAAATTGGTCAACTTAATTCATTTTCAAAACTATGTAAACTGACTTGCAATTTTTATAAAATATAATGCGTCTAAATTTCAATTGTTTTTTTTACTTCATAAACATCCAAAATTGATATTATTAAACATTTAATAGTAAGTAATATTTTATAATATAATATTTTTATTTTAAAAATAATGTATTAATAATATTTATAATTTAACAAAATATACTACTTTTACTATTTTATTTACATAACTGTAAAAATAATATTTTGAAATAATAATAATATTTTTTTATAATAAATAATATTATTTATTAAATTTGATATCCATAATAAATAAATTATCAAAACTTTATCAAGCAACTAAAATGCTTTATAAGTTATTATTTAAACACTAAGGCACATATACTACAGACCCAACTACTCGAATTTAGAGCTTTTAAAAAGAATAACACTCCTTTTTACTACTAAATTTATTTATTAAATTCAATAAATAAGAACTTAAATACAAAATGATAACACATTCGTCTAATAAACACATATAAACCCAATAAAACTCTGGGTTTTGGGCCTTACTCATAAGTATACATGTCGGGCATTTTTAGCCCATTACAACAAATAGAAAATAGAATTAGAGTTTAAGGGAACATTGAATTTTAATTAGGGATATACGATATTTTATACAGTACAAAAGAAACTCGTCATCTCGAGGTGACAAGTTTCATGAGATATTATTTTTATAATACATGCATATTATTTTAATTTTTTAAGAAATGTGTCACCTCAAGGTGACAAATTCCTTTAAAATATTTTTTTTGCAGTAATATACTTAAAATTAGAATTGAAAAAAAAAAAGTTGTTGGAACTCGTCACCTCGAGGTGACGAGTTTGATGAAAACACTACTGATTACTTTAGTTTTTTTAAAAGTTTTTTTTTTGGTTTTTTTGTTTAATGTTATATTTAAATAAGAAAGTCGTAATGTTGAGGTTATGCGATTTGAGTGGTCATATTCAGTTACCTTTTTTTATCATCTTAATGTGAGGAGTTCGAACGGTTATACTGTAATATGGAGAGAGAAAAAACAAGCCATGAGAAATGCGCATTAAGAAGTAATATTACAACACAATTAATACATTACCTTAAGGACGTAAATAGGATAAACCTTACACACACTAAACAGTAAATCAAATCATAAATTCATAAACATTTGTTGCATTATTCGTTATGATGTTCTACTCTTCGTAATCAGTAGACTCGTCAGAAGTAATATTAAATTCTTCAATTCTCCATTCTTTTTCTTATTACCGTTCACGTACAAATTAGAACCATGCTTTTAGGTCTCCATCATCTATGTTTGTTGCTTCGTCATTTGTCTGAGTTGTTAGGATGTTCGAGTTGGAAGTAGCATCCTCAACCGTACAAACAAGGTCGATATCATCGAAGTCTACAAATAAATCGACATTAGACAAATAATAGTTGAAATATGTCACAATCATACCAACAAGGTCAATATCATCGCTTAGATGAAACCTCGTGCATGATAGTGAAATTCAATAATATAACAAAGATATTCTTCTACTGCTTCATAGTTAAACCCTTCTTTGTATATTAAACTTCGAGTTGTTTAGTTGAAATTTTTTTTGAAACACAAGGTTAAAGATTTGCAATCATAAAAAATAGTTGCACGAATAGTTGTCATGTTTGCAAAAAAAAAAAACTCAAGATTTGGAAGTGAAAAACTGAGGTTGTTCTAGACCGGTAAAATAGGTTTCACCATATATGTATTTATAGGTAAAAGTCTGTAAAATGGCAATTTTATGGCATGGTGCATTATTTTAGATAGCTGTTGAAATACAAGTTGGGCCTGATATGAAGTGATATATAAGTATTGAAAATTTTTAGAAATTAGTTGACATTTCACTGAAAAGTTGCTGAAGATGATTGATGGGGCACTGAAAAGTTGTTATCATTTTTTGGCCTCCTGTATTATTAATGGCCCATTGTAAAGATTATTAATGACTCATTTTGACATTTTCAGGCATGATGTATTATTAAATATGACATTTCACTGAAAAGTTGCTGAAGATGATTGATGGGGCATTGAAAAGTTGTTGGCATTTTTTGGCATCCTACATTATTAATGACCCGTTCTGAAGATTATTAATGGCCCATTTTGACATTTTCGGGCATAGTGCATTATTAGAGATAACATTTGACTGAAAAGTTGCTGAAGAGGAACATAATTGGCAGTTCTAAAGATTATTAATGTTCCGTTTTGACATTTTCGGGCATGTTGCATTATTAGAGATAACATTTCACTAAAAAGTTGTTGAAGATGAACATAATTGGCAGTTGGGTATGATGCATTATTAAAGATCAACAGAATTGACTGTTGGATCGCAATTTTAAACTGAGAAGGATGCTCAACTAGCAGTTAAGGAGTTTTGTCTAAAAGCTCATATGGAATTCACTGTTGCCAAGTCTGATCAGAAGATATACCTCATCAGGTGTATAAAAAACAATGTTGGATGTAAGTGGATGATATACGTGTCATATCTATATCAAAAGATGTTGTGGGAAGTCATCGGATTCCACAACCAACACAATTGTACGTTGACGTCCTTGACACAAGACCAAAAACACTTGGATTCTGATGTCATATGTGCATACATTAAGCTTTTGGTGGAGAAAAATACAAGGATCCCAGATTCAATGTTAGTTCCATCAATTCAGAATACATTTAATTATATTCCGTCTTACTATAAGATGTGGATGACAAAAAAGAAAGATGAAACTATTGTACGGTGATTGGGATCAATCGTGCAATGAGCTTCCACACCTGTTGCACACAATAGAATTCTTCATCCCATAAACCATTGTTTACTCTTATAATTATCATATGACCACGTTTGATGGACATGTTATCCCAAGAAAGAGAGTTTTAGAGGGCTTGTTCTAGGCTTTCAAGTCATCTATTGAAGAGTTTTGTTACTACAAACAAATGGTTCAAGTGGATGGTACTTTTCTATATGGCATATACAAACACATCATGATGATAGTTGTTGCACAAGCTGGTGACAGAAACATTTTCCTCATTGCCTTTGCCATTGTTAAAAATAAGTCAAAAGAAACATGAAATTTCTTTTTATCAAACTTGCGCTCTTGTGTTGTCACTCAAGATGGGGTTTGTATGATCTTTAACCGTTCACTTGGGTTGTTGGCCATGATTGAAAGACTGAGAAATATGTGGTCATCTCCCCATGCATTCCCAGTGTATTGCATATGTCATATTGCATCAAATGCTATGAATATGTTTAAGAATAAGAAGATAAAAAAAAGATTATCAACATGGGTAACTTATTATTTTTTCCTTCATTTATGTTCTTCATTTATTATTATAATTAAATTTAAGTTTTTTCATGATATGATTTACTTCAACAGAACTTCCGAGCAAGACTGAAAAATTTGAGGTAATATGGATAAGAGGTTTATAACTTCGCATCTGAAATATCTCGAGAAAGATGGTCACATGCATATGACGATCAGGGTCGACATTATGGTCATATGACAATCAATCTTATTGAATGTATCAATTCAATACTTAAAGGGACTAGACATCTTCCTGTGGCAAGTTTAGTTCGGGAGACTTGCTTTAGATTGGGTAAACTATGGGCAGACAAATATGCTTAAGTGGAGATAATGATCAACGAAGTTAGAAATTGGGCTCCAAATCTGGAGAAAGCAATGAACAAAAATCAAACACATGAAACTTCAATGTATCTTCATAATTTTGCCAAACTTGATTATGATTACATTTTCCAAGCACTTGTTCGACCACAAGATGGTGGGAATTCTACCACCCACACATGTAATTTGAATAGAAGATGATGTGACTGTGGTCGATTTTAAGCCTTCAGATACCCATGTGCTCACGCGATTGCTTCATGTATGCATGTCAATGTAGACTCATACTCATACGTTGATGATTATTATAGCTTGCATAATATGCACAACATATATAGTTGTGAATTTAAGTATCTCCCAAACGCTGCATACATGCACCAACTATTTATGAGGAACGGTTGCTCAATCCACAATTACAAATGAAGTTATAAGGTCGTCCTGAATCTAGTCGAATTCATATTGATATGGATGATCCACAACGAGAGCAAAGTCTACCAAAGTTCTGTTGTCACTGTAGAGGTGAAATCCACACCAGGAAGAAATGTCCACATCTTTCAAAATATTGATCGGGCCGATAAACATTCGTATTTCTATTGCTTCAAATGTTGTCTATTGTACCTGTTTTGGATAATTTATCTATATCAATAACCATATATTTAACTAAATTAAAATTCATACATATATTTGAAACATTTTTTCAACAAAAATAAACAATTTTTCCTCTTGTTCTTCCTCTCTATAAGTCTTTTGCTACGTCTGTTTTCTAAGTCTTCTTCTTCTTCTCCTCTGTTTTCATCTCCTTATGTTGATCAAGAATCAACTTACTCTTTCACCCATTCCTCATCTGAAGACAAGCTTAAATCTGAATCATCAATATCAGAGTAATCAGGCGCAAAATGATCTTTCATAAATTGCCTGAAATATTATTCTCAATCTGCATGATTCGATTCCCATATAACTCTATCAACTAATTCAACTCCTATTTATAGATGAAATTTTCTCAAAATGACCGTTATAACTCGTTAAGCCCACAGGACGAGTTCCAATGGCTATAAAACGACTACAATTTTTTTAATTCTAATTTTAAGTGTATTACTGCATAAAAAATATAATAATATTTTAAAGGAATTCGTCACATTGAGGTGACGAGTTTCTTAAAAAATTAAAATAATGCGCACATATTATACAAATAATATCGCATGAAACTTGTCACATCTACCTATTAAAAACTCTTGCATAATACAATGTAGATTTTACCAAAACACTAGGAAGTAAACTAACTGAGTTAAGTTTAAGTATTATTGAGTTCGTCGATTCGAAAACTTTAAAAATGAGTTCAACTTAATTCTAAAATTTATAAGATTAAAATTGTCAAGCTTAACTCAAATTAAAAATTAAAAATTGAAGTTCGACTAGAAAACTCTAGAATTTTTTAAGGTCGATTTGAAATCAAAAATTAAAACTTGACTTAAGTTCAAAAAAATTTAAACCTTGAAATAATTTTAGACTTAACTTGATTGAAACTCAAACTCGATCTTAATTTAAACTCAAACTTGAGTTCGAAATTTGAATATTAAGTATATAAAAAATATTATATATTAAAAATAATAATAATAATATTAATATTAATATTAATAATAATTTAATATAAAAAATTAAAAAAATAAAATATTATTGTTTAGTTAGTCGTAAACTTTTTTTCAAATCAAATATAAAATAACTCATTTCAGTTCCTTAAATCTAGATTATTCAAATTAAATTTTGAATTACACTCGAATAACTCTCTATTCTTAGTCAATTGTTAGTCATATGTTCATCAATTCCTCTCTGGAAATAAACACTGAAATCTGGCTCAGAAGAAGGTTCCAAACTGAAAACAATGGCGTCCCCAGCCACCAAGGAGAGTTCCCATCGTCATCATCAACCTCCGAGGACTGGCGGCGTCGAATATTGATCCCTACGATCCTTGCAGGTCTTTTGTCTTTTTGCCTTTTCTATTGAAACATCAGGAGTCTTGATGAATTTTTGCGTTGGTTTTCTTTGTTTGAAACAGGGGTTGCCTGTGGAGGGTTTGGGCTGGTTTCAAAGTATCGAAAACTGCATGGTCCGGCTAATATTTCAGCTACTTATGCCACTAATTTCGCTATTGTCACCGGCTGCTATTGCGGTATTTCCTTTCTTTATAAAGAATTTAACCGCAAGTGATCGGTTGTTAAAGTCAAAATCTTTTTCGTTTTCCATTTCGATCAGTAGAGGCCATGACTTTGCAAATTAGTCTACGAGATGTTAAATTGTACTGTAATTTCAACCATAAATTGAATAGAAGAAAAACCATAAGTTTCATCATATACTAACACATTGTCAGTATTTAATTCTTCCAAATTATTACTCTATTTTGCACCAAAATCCAGCTTTAAGAGCATATAAAAAGGGTCTTACAGGAATTCCTGCTACTAATTCTATGTCATTGGTTGTGATTGTGGGTAATATTTTCCTTAGTCGCTTCATTTGTAATGCAAGTCATAATAAAATTTGTTTTCGTCTTTCAAAATATTGTGTGTAATATATATCCACGAAATTGTCCTTATTGGGAGTGATATTGGTGGAAAAATTAAAGTAACTTGGGAGATCGGCTTTCTTGACCTGGATAACTACGTGGTTTTTTTGACACCATGGAGTGGTGCTGTGTGGAGATACCAAGAAAGCTTTTAGTATCATCTTTAGGTTTTTAGACCTTGGAAGTTAGATTTGATGCCTTGATTTAATTAATAGTAGGGAGTTTATACATTCTCATCTTGTTAGTCATAAGAATCGGGTAATCATTCTCTTCTCATAACATGACTCCGTATCATGTCTAGGTGCACTGAATTCATTTCTCATGATCATGTGTGAATTAGCATCAAGTGTTGAATGCAGACTCCATTCAAAATAAAGCCTGTAGCGTGAATATTAAAAATTGGCCCCTTTTCTCCTTCTTGATTTTCTGTAGTTTTACTGGATAAAAATATGTTACTCCGAAAGCTAATGCAACCTGACATGTATGAAATTTATAGGCTTGGTATTAGCAAATCATCCTAGGTTGATTATTTTAGTCAATTCCACTCCTAAAAGAAATTTCATACAGTGTATTTGCATTGAGAAATGCATTAAACTTGTAACAGGCCTCAAATACATTATGATAATTGGAGACACTGCTTCCTTGAACCTTTTTCTTCTCCTTAATAAGGCCTTTTACATAGTCATTATGAGAGTGCATGCCTTCTGTTCTGCCGTTTTCCAGCCTCACTAAGGTTGACTTGATATTTTTCTTAAGGAAATCGAAGTCAGTAGGATATATAAGCTTTTCCGAACAGACAAACTCAGTAGTGAATGCTTTGTTAATTGGCATCAACAGCATCGTATTTCTTGCAAACTGTTACTTAAATTGAATACAGCAATAATAACTCTAATTTTGCAGGAGCTCGTGAATTTGTAACAGCAACTCATAAAACAGGACCTGAGGATCTTCTGAATTATGCAATTGCTGGATTTGGCACTGGTGCTATATTGGGTCATCTTCATGGTAAATTTTTTCAGTCTATCTCTCTCTCTCTCTCTCTCTCTCTCTGTGTGTGTGTGTGTGTGTACATGTATATGTATGTTATCCATATGCTTGTGTGATTCTGCAATTGTAGATCAGTTCTGCATGTTACCCCAGTTGTTTAAGTACTTAAAGTGCTAAATTTGATTGATTGTGACCTTTGTCATCCTCTGCAACATCTCTTTTAAAAGATTTCTTGTGTGATATTTTAGGTGGTCAATTTGGCGCTTTTCCTATTCACTCATCTTTGCTGTTGTTGGGACAGCAGTGGATTTTACTGCACTAAAGTTAAGATATAAATTACCCCACATCAGCGAATCTATGTTTGATAAGAGCGGTTCGTTGAAATTGCTGGAATGGTCTCCTATACAAGTGCTTGATGAAGAAGCCCTTGCTGCAAAACTAGCTCGAGAAGAAAAACTGTACGGACAAAGAAAAACTCTAAGCAAAGAAGAATCATGAGGGTAGAGTATATACTCTTTAGTTCTTAATTATTGATAATAACATTTTTTGCCATTGCTAGTTCAGCTGCTTGGCAGCTAATATTGTATTCCTGGGATTAAGTTTTGTTTTGTTTTGTTTTCAAAATATTCTAATAATATTCTTTGTTTTACATTAGCTGTAATTTGGGATTCTAAACATCCCTAGATAATTGAAAAAGAAAAAGCTATTCACTTATACGATGCTTGAGATATCTGAAAACTTCTAACACTTCTCTTGACTCTTGAGAATCTCTAGGTCTTATCTGATTAATAAAGGGTATTCTCCCCGACGTTGAGCCTCGACAGTTTCTATAGACAGCTCATCATATTCGACGCGCTCTTTTCTTTTCCCAGATTTCTCCATCCAATTTGATGATTCCGTCATCGAGGCTATGCAGGGCAAGCCGAAACCTTCATTGTCAGCTGCCAAGCATTGTTGCATGTTTCCTTCTTGAAGGTAAGCTTCATTTTTATCAGAAAAAGTTGAATTCAAGAACTCACCATGTTCTTTGTTGGCGATATATTGATCTTGAATCCAATTCGAGTTATTAGTTGCTCCTGGCGCTTCTAATAACACATCAAGCGATGATAATATGTTATATAATCCATCATTATATAACAGTTCCTGAAACATGGACAATAAAACAGATTAGTTCTTTCCTTCAGTTTTGCATTCTGCATCAATAAATGATTAATAGAGAGAGAGAGAGAGAGAGAGAGAGAGAGAGAGAGAGAGAGAGAGTTTACTGTTGGAATAATGTCCTCTTCGGCAAGATACTCTAAGTTAGAAGGCCCTTCAAAGCCCTCGGCTGCAATAGCTATATTATGTTGATTGCTGCTTTCATTAGACGACATTTCGAAGCCCTCGACTGCAACAACTATATTATGTTGATTGCTGCTTTCATTAGAAGGCATTTCGAAGCTCTTGTCTGCAATAACTATATTATGTTGATTGCTGCTTTCATTAGAAGGCATTTCAAAGCCCTCGGCTGCAATAACTATATTATGTTGATTGCTGATTTCGTTAGAAGGCCTTTCTAAGCCCTTGGCTGCAATAACTATATCATGTTGATTGTTGCTTTTGTTAGAAGGCATTTCAAAGCCATTGGCTGCATCAACTATATCATATTGATTGCTTCTTTCTTTAGTGATAGTTTCATCATAGTTAGTGAGAATTGAATTGCAAGACTCATCATCTTGTTCGATGGTGTTATATGGATCTCGAACCCTATTATCGTCTTTTGGTTCATTTTGATCCGTTGACAACTCTTTAAGGTGTAAAGGAACCTGAATCAGAGAAATAAGAGTGAGTTTAGATAGTCATCATCATCCACATGGATAACTGATTAAGAATTTCGCATCAGAAATCTTACTTTCAGAATTGTATACTCTGCAACATGATTTATGAAATTAGATGAAACATTAGAGCCTTCATCTTCATTAACCGTGTTATGTTGATTGCTTCTTCTTCCTCCACCATATATCTCAACAGCGCTGCAAAGGTTATGAGCACTGTCATGGTCTTTAGATGCTTCCGACCTGTTAGGGTCTAGGATGTCCTGATCATAGAGAAAGAAACAGTAGCTATGAATATCCACATCATGATAGAAATATACAACTGAATGAAGAGAAGAAACATAGGGAATCTAAGTTCTAACCTCTGACATTGCATTGTTTGCTACATGATTCTCTAAATTAGAAAAAGAACCCTGATTTAATTGACCGACTTCACTACTGGATATATCAACTTTTTTCTTCAGTTTACGAAGTTTGAAAGGCTTCTACACAAATTAAGGGACAAAAGCATATTTGTTGGTGCAGTGAAGCTCATAAATAGATATAAAAAGTATATATATGTGTGTGTGTGTGTGTGTGTGTGTGTGTATGTGTGTGTGTTATGGTAGCAATTCGAAAAGATTGCTTACTTGACCAGACTCAATTGTAGCCTTGAGTTCATACTCATGCATGACCCAAAAAGTCTTGTTTCTTATTGTTACATTGGCCTCTATAGAAAACCAAAGTCTTCTTGCTGCCTATCTCTGATCCTGTTTCGGAATTAATTATCTTACGAGCATTGCCTGTAGGCTTCCAATACCCCTCCAGGGTGGTCTGGCTAATCAGTTTACTGTTTCGGTACTTGTATTTAGGTGGGTACATGAAGTACCATGATCGATCTCCTGTCTGCAAGTTTGAGCACCCTGAAAGACGTGCACACATATTTATTAAGATGTTACAACATTTCTTGAAGTAAATCCAGGATTAAGAAGCAAAGAAAGAAGGGATTTGACCAGGTAATTCCCAAGGCTCCAACTCGCAGATGTCTTGTATTTCAGCAATAACTTGGACGAGAGAATCATGGTCGAAGGTTTTGATATGAAGATACTCGATGAGTTCTTCATCAGTTGGGTGAAATCTGAACCCTTTCACCAAATTCATTCTTTTTCATGAGATTGCTGATAGGAAACCCAATAAAAAGCTGAAGAATATCAATATGAAATAAGAATTTAGGACTATCTCCTTATGGTGTATGTGTATATATAGAAAAGACTCCTTGCTTGATGAAAATGTTCCCTAGTGGATGTCGTTGGGCCATGGCTACTTCCCCTCGAAGTTTATGCTGTTACTGTAAAGTGTAAAGCAAAGTCAATATTCCAATGACTGCCTTTTTTTCTCCTTTTAAATATGGAATTTCGACTTTGGGTTTTAATCTCTTAAAACTAATCTATCAATTCCAATATTACTGTAGCTTACGTCGTATTCATTTATTTATGTCCAAACAATTTCATAAGCTTCGTGAGCAAGGAGTACCTTTTTAAGTCGACCATTACTATGAGCAGAGATAGGAGGATCCTTTATTTTCCCATCTCAAGTAATTCTCATCATGATGCTATTATTGCTAATATTAAAATATATTATTAATAATTAATTAATTTATTAAAATAAAATATTAAATTCTTTAAATAATATTTAAATCTAGAGTTTGAGTGTTAATATTGTGAATAATCTAAATTAAATCTAGAGTTCGAATGTTAATATCGTGAATAATTCAGTTTCGTAATTTTCAACAAAATTAACATCAGCTAAATTCATTATATTTGAGATATCTTATTTTAATGACCCTTGATTTTTTTTTTAATAATTCTAAGATAAATATAAGGTAATATATATTTAAAGACTTTCAATCATTTGACAATGTACGTATGAACTTTTGCTATTTGCGATGCTCGAACCTAAGATTTCAATGGATAACAATAATCTCATAACCATTAAGGTCGCATGATTCATGTCCATCTTGATAGTAGAGAATGGGAAATGAGTATCTCTATTAGGTTATTCGTTAATTAAATCATTATAGAAAACCAGTGACCCATACAACTAGGTTGGTTTCGCCAAATTCGTTTACTCTCACTTCTTAGTTATGCAGCTAAGGTAGTAAACTGATTGATTATACAACTAGGTTAATTATGTCAAGGATCCATTTCAAAAGAGAAAAAATGACAGCAAAAACTCTCAGGTCTGCCATTCAGCTATTGAATATACACAACAAGCCAGTCAAGAGCTCTCCACACAGAAACATTAACATCATTTTCTACGCCCTCATACTTGTTGACATGTAAGATAGATGACCCTTACCCTATGAAAGCAAAGACACGAGAGACACGAACTCCAGGGTTACCCGGCCCTCGGATCTCGTGTTGATGACAAGAGTGTCGTGGGTATTTTCTTAATGGTTTCCCTCTCGATTCAGGACTGCCCAGTACTCGGACGTAAGATACCTTCTAACACGGCTGTGACGCCAGATACTACTAAGTTCTTCAACCAACTGAAGAAGAAAGAACGAAATTACAGGAAGGAAGCAAAATCTTCTAAAACCCTACAACTCAAAAAATCAAAATATAGCACAAGGACTATTGTCATGTGGGCAGAGAATGTCATCAGCTTGGGATTTATTTATGACTAAAACAACGCAAGCTCAAAATTAAAATAGCTTCAGATTTTGGTAAAATATAAAGAGAGAATGTAGTAGGAATGAAAGTTTCATGTCGGCAGCATAAAAACTGGTAAATGAGATAGAGTATCAGAAAACAATATAACTACCCGATGAGATCCTACACATCATTTCATCTTCATGGCCATAAAAATCAAAAGGAACCTTTTGAAAAGATAGAGATAGCATCGCATCATAAATTGACATTAATTATAAGCCAAAAACCACATAGACTACATGATAACTATTAAATATACTTCTTCTATCATTCATCTCATCTCTCTTTTATGGAGGTATCATCACTACTTCCATAAAAGCTTCAAGATGGCTTCATTCTACATTCCAAGGTACAAACTATGCAATTTCAAGAAGTATCTTTAACAACTGGCAAAGAATGAAATTTCTCAGAACTGTGATAAGCTATTTTGCTTGGACTGATCTTCTTTTTCCTGAAGTACTTGTGTCCAACACTCATATTTGACAGTGGAAATGGGGATATGACCAATAAGAAACGTCTAAATACATGGAATCTTAGAAAACTCTAACTATACTCATGTCGGATGTATACCCCTATCTGACACTCACACCAGAGTCTGAGTAACAATAACATAGGTGATAAGACAATGGATAGGGAAAATTCTCAAAAATCGGATCAAGATTCACTAGGACCTCTGGAAACAGAAAAACGATAAGCACCGACAGATCCTGTAAGATTCAGTAAAGCTCGGCTGATCCTGCAGCATAACTCCCAACCAAGAAAAAAAGAAGATACCAATTGAAAATGTATCAGCAGAGGTTGAAATCCTAGAGGTGTGTGTAATGATTTATGGAACACAATGGGACACTCCTGAGATATGATGGCAGATTAAACCATTATACTAAGCAGATAAAAGATCTCTGGCAAAGCATTTTGAGTGCTGCAACCACAAGAAATCACCAATGCCAGCATCTATAATGCCAAAAAATCAAGGCTGAAATAGGATATAATGCACTCGGAGGCAAGCCATAGCATAATTCAAACATATATTGCAAAATTATTACATGGTTAGTTTTCTTTATCTTTTAAAATGAAGAAAATTTATTTTAATTTCATTAATATTTTAACATTTTTTCTTATAATTTTTAGTATCAGGGCGGTATCAATTTTGGTACAACTTCGGGTGGCCCATATATGACTACTACATATGATTATAACACACCCTTTTGATGAATACGGTAATTACACGCCTTTGGTAATAAAATTATTTATATTTTTATAATTTTTAAATAAATTATTAATTTCATTTAAGGAATCTGAATCAACCAAAATGAAAACATTTGAAGTAACTACAAGATGTTTTACATTACATTGTTTATACTCTTAATCATGGAGATATTCAAACTAAAAAATATATCGGTAAATATATCAACCAAAATGAAAACATTTGAAGTAACTACAAGATCTTATGTTGAATGGAACAGTGACTCTTCATGTAACTGATACTGGCCATGTTCTTCATGTTTTCATCCAAAAAATATATCGGTAAATGAACGATATTTTCTTCTTTCTTTGTTAATATGTATTGAATTAAAATAGATGTAGGTATAAAATGCAAATAAATATTTTTTTAGGTTATCAATGGGCAAAATATGGTAACAGCGTGGCATATATTTTCGAGAAAAATATTAAGGTATTAATTGGGAGAAACCTGATATCATTACTTAGTGTCACAGTTGGATTCAAGGTACACATACATAGAACTCATGAGATTTTGTTGTATATGATATTTATTATCATCTCTAGTTGGTTTACTAGATAAGGCATTAGGTCTTTTGAACAAAGTCAATGAATTGAATACCGATGGTTATAAAAGAAACTTTAGCGAGCTTCCATGTCTGAAATTGTTATTGATGTACAAATCGAGCCACTTCCTTGTTTAGCTTTAGACAATGATATTTGAACCGATGTTTGGTGAGTGGAAAACGAGCCTTGTTTCGGAGGTGGGAGTGGCAGGGTTTCGTTCCCGATCATAGAAATCACATCGGACATGGTTGGTCTCTCTGTTGCAGACTGTTGCACGCATAAAAGACCCACAAGCATACATCTCAATGCTTGATATGTTGCATTTTCATCGCCGACTACAATGGAGTCGTCGAGTAGCTCGAGACTTCTTTCATCTTTCCAAAGCTCCCAAGCCTGCTAGAATAAAAACTAATAGATCAGCCCGGAAGATGATATTGATATTCTGAAGACTCGATATTATAAGGTTTCGAAGGGGAAAAAAACTGACATATCCAACTAAATTCATGGGTCGATCATGTTGGAAAATTCGGTTGTTCTTTTGGCCACTGACAAGCTCTAATAGCAACACTCCAAAACTGTAAACATCTGATTTCTCCGAGAAATTGCCTTCCATGGCATACTCCGGTGACATATAACCACTGCAATGTATTAAATTCATGACTGTTATTAACCTTCTTAACGCCCAAATGAAAAAGTGAAAAACATGTCATTATCATTTACTTACTATGTTCCAACAACTCTGTTTGTATTAGCTTCGGATTCATTTCGGCTGAAAATTCTAGCCATGCCGAAATCCGAAATCTTCGGGTTCATATCACTATCAAGCAAAATGTTACTAGCTTTTAAATCTCGATGGATGACTCGTAATCTCGAGTGTCTATGAAGATAAAGGAGTCCTTGAGCAATCCCTTCGATGATGCTAAACCGTATCTTCCATTTCAATTGTTCTCTTCTTGTTGGATCTGCAAGTTTTGCACGTCACATTGAATATTTTTTCGTATGACAAGCAATGGGAAAAGGATTGAGCGGCAAAGTATTGACGAACCAAATAGGAAGAAGTCCAAGCTTTTGTTGGGCATGTATTCGTAGATCAACATCTTCTCGCCTGCTTTAACACAACAACCTAAAAGTCTAACGAGATTCATGTGCTGAAGTTTGGCAATAAGAATGAGTTCGTTTTTGAATTCTACAAGTCCTTGTCCCGAACTCCTCGACAGCCTCTTCACCGCTATTTCTTCTCCGTCCTGTAATTTCCCCTGATTAAATTGTACATGTAAGTAACCGAGGCTCGAATGTCGATCACAAGTACAACATATTTAACTTCATTGTTGGGACTTTTACCTTGTATACAGGGCCAAAACCGCCTTCTCCGAGCTTGTTTTCGGATGAAAAACCGTTGGTAGCAGCGTTTATAGAAGCAAAAGGGAAGACCTTCAAATCATGGCCTTTCCTCCCATCGCTGCCAACCTCGCTTGAGGTAGTTAGTTCGAGTAATATATCTTCTTCCTCTCTTTCCTTCTCTTCTGTTTAAATTTTAGATGCATGGTTAGACTCCGCCATTATATCTACATAGGCATTACCTATGATTCGAAGTTCGAAGAACTTACCTCGGAGTTTTTTCCTCCTTAGATAACACAAGAAGCTCAATGCAAGTAATATAAGCACGGATGCAAACGCAACGATGATCCAGATCCACCAATTGTTTTCTAAACAAAATCAACAAATTAAGAAAAAAACATTGCAATCAGATCAAGTAAGATAACTTTTGTGTTAGACCATTACCATTGCCACTACCAGTTACTGCATTAGATTCGTCTCCAGCCAATGTCGAATTTAAAACATAAACAACTCGGTCATTTGCATCATCTGTAAAGTTCAAATCTCTGTTCCATAGTTCGCACCCCGTTCCATTCGTATGAAGAGTAGCATAACCGACGCAAGAACATGTGTTCCAGCACTGAGCAGAACAGTCTCCTAAACCAATGCTTAAATTCCCCTGGGATGATGATGGAAAACCCTGAAAGCGACCTCTCTGCAGCACAAATGCATCAGTCTCGTTTTTGCAAGCAGGTTCTCGGAGTTGACAACCGGGAAGTCCGTAGCAATTAGCACCGAGAAGAAAGACTGGTTTTAATGTATCCGACAGTGACCCTGACGGGTCCAAACTCCATCTTGAAATAGCCCCATCTAGAACAGAATAGCTGAAGTAGCTCTCATTCTCGTTCGAGACATGGCTGAAGTTGTAGTTGTTCTGTGTCCAAGGAGACATCAACCACATGATGTTTTCGAAGCTTCTATCATTTGTGTTCAATGCCCCGCTCATCCAATACACCTCTCCTCGGCGTCTTGCAATTAGTTGAGCGATGCCACTGCCATTGTTACCCCATTCAAGTGTAAAAGCTCCTGGAGCGGCAACTTGGTTACTTATTGAAGAAGTAAGTATCCATTCTTGACCGGTTCGGAAGCTCATACCTAGCTTCATTCCAGGCAGCAACGTGTCTACAGGGAAATCAAAGCTTTCCCACAGGATTCCCCTGGTAGAACCATCGGGATTCAACTCTGTCAATATGAAATTCCCATCGTCCCGTAGGGTAGCTGATGAATTTCTCGAAGCTCGATCAGGATTCAAGACGATCGGACTCCCACGGTCACTCATAATCATCAATAAGCCATCTCCATCCATTGTGAAATTCCCACTGCTACTATAAACAGGAGTGGTTCGATTAGCCACCCACACCGTCGTGCCGTCGCTGTTTCTTATTCGCAAGTAACGATAATCATCATTGTCAGAGTCGACAAAACGTTGGAACTCTAAACTGAATCTCTTGTTAGCCGAAACAAGAGAGTCACTGAACCGGATTGATTCACCAGGTCTAATGGTGTCACTTTGTGCATGAGATATGTAAAATACTCCCATGCATGAACATGAGACGATGAGCAATAAAACCTTGATCATCGTAACAAATCTTATGAAAACCCTGCCTGAAATTGAAACACAGAACAGAACATTTATCCTGTTATATACATGTCAGATAAAAAAACTATTGTCGCATTTGAATTGACTGGGTTTTCTAAAGATAGTTACATACACGGTCACGTAATTATCTTTGACATTTTCTTTTATCCTTTGAATTGATTTTTCCTTGATACTTTTCTTGGAAAATTTTCCGAGCTACGTTTGATGTTGTGAAAATTCCAAAGTATATATCAATTCAACCAAACTGTTCCATATATGTTTGACTTGATTTTTAACAAATCATTACAATGGATTGTTACTAATCAAAAGTGGTAAGAATTTAATGACCACACATTTTTATTGAACATTTTATGTCCATCTTACAGACAAATAATGTGTTTTTATTAATGCCCTCAGGCCTCTATTTTTCACTTATTCTGCAACTTGCAAGTTAACCCCATCAACTGATCATTTCGAACCTTGTCGTCGTCTAGCTATTGATGAAGGCATTCCGGAGGAGGCACCGGATATCGGTGCCTGTCAGAACAATAGTCATAGTTCACGTATTTTCTTCTAACGTTTTCGAATTGTCCTTTCTGTTTCGAGTCCAACGTCCAATATTTCTGTGAATTCCACCAATAATTTGGAGAAAAACATTCTTGATTACTATTATTGTTTGAGCTGGGATCGGATTTGGGGCAACCGTTGATATGGAAGCCTTGGAAATGAGCTTTGAAGGGAGCCATGGTCCAATTAGTCTTGGTTCGGCCCCCATCGGTTGCCCAGCTATCTCCATCCCACAAGCTTGCTTCTATTCTCATTACTTGTGATGGGTACCCAACGCCAATGCCTTTGTTATTTTTGAACACCCTGATTGGGATGTCATCCACATAGAATCTGTAAGTATATATTTTTTTGTTATTATTAACTCCAAACTATGATAAATAATATGTAATTAACGATAAAATTAGATGCAAGGGTGGATCTAGAAATTTAAAATTTGAGGTCTAAAATTTTAATAATTGTTTTTTTATAAAAAGTATGCAAATTTTCTTATTTTTTCACTTTCCTTTAACATATTAAACTAAATTTAATAATTTTTCAAAAATGATGGGTATGCAATTGAACCTCTTCATATATCCGCTACTCCTTCAATGTTTGCTTAAATGGTCACTTTGGCTCCTATTTTTTAATATTTTAGGCTCAATGTTTCAATTTTTTGACAAAGTAGTCCATAATGAACTGAAACATTTAATTGACTAACGTTCAATGCATATTGTTGATGTTGTATTTTCACATGTGCTTAGTTACTTACATGTCACATATCATGCCATCAAAGTGATAACGTGACATGTATCATATCACTCAAATTGATGATATAACACGTGTCACGTAACTAATTAAGTACATTGAAAATGTCATGTATGTAGTAGCATACTTTGACCGTTGTCGGTTTCCATCCATCTTGTTAAAATGCTGGGTTAAAATACAAAAAAATCAGGTGTCAAAGTAATTATTTAGACAAACATTGGGGACTAATTTTGTAATTGGGTGAAATATATACACACACAGAGAGATTAATGCATGGATATGCAAAGAGAGAAAGGAGGGATGATCATAGATACGTACACAATTTGGTGTTGGTTCCAAAGAATTTGATAATTGTGGAAATCAGCAGTGGGATCAAACCAGAGAACAACTCTTTGCTCTCTATCCCCAACACCATCGGCGAATACATTGGTTTGCAAGGTAATAGGCTTCCCTTCTTTATTCCCCAAGAACTCAAAATCCAGCTCGTCATGCTTGTTGCCTTTCGATGTTAGCTGCCATCATCACCAGTAGTATTTCACTAACATGTATAATATTTTTTCCTGAATAATTAGTTCGAAAAGCGAAACTAAATGATTAAATATTACGTAATAAGCAATGACAACTCCAGCAGAATCTTTATCCGGTAGCTTTATCCTCAAATGAAAAAACCCAATACCATAACTCAGCTTCGACCTAAACCCAGATCCTGTAACAATAATTCCACGTATATATCTTTGCTTAAAAATAAAACCATGCAAATACTCTACGTAATAACCAGAAGAGAAGAAGGTAAATAACCAGAGGAGGCATCCATTGAGAGCTGAATTTGAGTGCCTAGATTTGAAGACAAGACACGATCATTTCCCCATGTAATTTCATAGTTTTCATCGAATCTAGTAATATCAGCTGTAATGAAGAAGAAGCTGAGATGGAAAACTATTGAGAGCAAAGCTAGCATGGAAATGTAATACTGCATTTTCCCAGACATCTTAATTATTTATTTGATGGATGATTGATGAGTTTATATAGGGATTTGCTCTGCTTGTTTTGATCATCTGCCAGCTGAAAGATGGAACTTGCCTACACGGTATTGACTTCTTGTGATATTTTTATCCGCCGTAACAAACCTCTTTTGTTATATAGCTATTGCTTAGCTGCTATATATATAGCCTACCATTTCCTGCGAAATTGGAAGCAATTTTCAAACAATGCAACTTATGATTGGAGTTGGGAATTAGTGACGCAATATGGAATACGGGACTTCAGAAAAATGTTTAATTATGAATTTCATCCCTCTACTTTATAAATATTGACAAATTAGTCTCTTTGGTTACTTCCCTCTACTTATGATTGGAGTTGGGAATTAGTGACGCAATATTATGCATGAATAATCTGTATTTTCATGCATCTAGAAAATTAGAGCCCATCTTACAAAAAGTAATTTAAAACAGTGAGGCATATGAACCCAAATTAATTTGGATATGTAGAAACCAAGAACAAAAGAGTTTAAGGGGTTGTTTGTTTACCTCTTAATGGAATCATTCAGCGCTGAGTTCAGCGTGTTTGTTTTTGACATCTGAATGAAGACTGTGCTGAATGATTCAGTACCAAGGAACACTCTGAATGATTCAGAATCATTATCAAACAACATGTCACATTCAGAGCTAATTAATACATAACCTCTGAATCATTCAGCGCTTAATTATTCTGAAGTAAACAAACAGCCCCTAACTCTTCTCGTTTAGTTAACTGCATGCCTAAAACAACAAAATGGTCTGCAGTTGCCGTGCCGAATCCGATAGAGTGAGATTGTTAGGCCTAAATAGGAGGAGGAGGTGCCATAACAGCAACGGTAGGGGGGAAATCATAGCAATTAACAAATATGGTTCGTACATCATATGAAAAGCAAAAAGGATTATATTGTATACCAAATTATTAACCGAAAATATTAAAAGCCCATATAATCTATAGATTTATAAATGTCTAAGAATTTATATATTTTAAGAGCGATGACGAAAATAAATAAATAAATAAATAAAAATAGTAAAAATGAAAAATCCACGAACATTAAGCTTCACTTTGCGGTGCAGTGTAGTGCAAGTAAGAACTTCTATGTCGCGCATTATTAATGTGTTCTTTCAATTTTGGTGGCCTAACCATCTTCATAATTTTTTTCTTTTATCAAAAAACAAATTTTTTTTTTGTGTGTGGATAATTCTGATTTATTACCCAAGAAAGCAGAAGGCTGCTACAACATACAGAGTACAATAAACAACATATATATAAGCCAAACACAGGTAGGCATGGCTACTAAACCCAGCAGAAACAATAAGAAAGAAACACGCAGCTAAGCAATATCCCAACGAGCACAAAGATCAGCATTACACTCGTCAGATCTACAAATGGTACTTCTCTCCAACCGAATCCGAATAACAGCTTTGATATCCTGCAACAGTGCATCCACTGATCGAGCACTACCTCCATAGAGCCTGCAATTCTGTTCCTTCCAAATGCTATAAACATGACCCGCCCAAGCAAGTCAGAACACTCTCGCAATGAGAGACTTGCCCTTGAAACAATAGGTCGCCCAAGCTAACTCACCTTCCCAGCTACAAGCCCCTCGATACACACCACATAAAGCGAGTATTGCCCCCCATAGGACCTTTGCAAAATTGCAGCCAAAGAACATATGGTCTCTACACTCAGGCTCAATACCATACATAAGACATTTAACATCCACGATACTTAGGCCCATTCTTAAAAGCCGAACCCGAGTAGGGAGACGATCAAGAATGGCCATCCACACAATGATGTTGTGTTTAGGAATACGCCCAGGAAACCACACTAGATGCTGCCAAGAAACTTTGGGAAAGATGATACGCAAGTTATCCCGAATGCTTCTTACACTCAGATTGTGAATCGGGCCAGTAAAGAGGTGAAGAACACTTGGTCTTACTCTCAATATGTATCTGAACGACCAACTAACATTTGTGGGAATGCTCATCTGCCAGAAATCTGCACTCTCAATCACGTAGGCATGTATCCAGGCCACCCAAAGAGAGCCCTCATTAGCCAAAAGCTTCTTGATAAGAAAAACGGCGCAAGCTTTATTCCATTCCCCCATAGCTTGAACCCCCAAGCCTCCTTTAGCTTTAGCAGCACAGATCTTCTTCCAACTGACACGAGCACCTTTAGCAGGCACATCGGATCCTTTCCAGAAGAATCTGGAGCATAATTGCTCAATGGAAAGAATAACCTTCTTGGACAGAATGAGCTGCAGAAACTTGCCATGCTGAAAAGAACAGCTCTGATAAGTTGGATTCTAATTTTATTATTATTATTATTTTATTTTTTTCTTTTATCAGAAAACAAAATTTTATTTTTTGGAGGACTAATTTTTTATTATATATATTTGATTTTGTCTTGTCTTCAACCTTATTTAATATTTAAGTATTCAATTTTAGGTGTAAAATTATTTTCTCAATCCTATCTCAACATGAACCGAAATTTTAGAAAATTATTTTTTATGATATTAAATAAAATATGTATTTTTTAAAAATATCTTAAGATTAAAAGATTTATAATAAAATATAAAGTATTTATAGAACTAAGATATTTTTTTATAATGTTCAATAAATTAAGATTTATAATTTAAAACATGAAAAATTTAGAAAATATATAAATTAAATTTTATATGAATTGAATCTTAATTCGATTTTAATTTTTTTTTTCAGAAATTTGATTCTCTAAAGAATAAGCTCTTATAAAATTGGAATAGGTCAAAATATATCGGTTTTGGATTTTCCCAAATTATAATTTTAAAAAATAGTATAGTTTTATTAAATTTACAAATTAATTTATATTATATAAAATTTTATATGTTATATTTTAGGATAAACTATATATTCAGTACTGAAACTATTAGTTTTGGACTGTTTTAGTACCTAATTTTTTTCAAAATCATACATAACATTTAGTTTTTGTTTCATTTTAGTACCCTACCGTTAAAAACTTAACGGGCGGGCTTACATGGCATGGCTCCGGTAGACAGATGACCAATCCGAACGGTGGACAACGAGAGAATGATGAGTTGACCAACATAGTCTAGTTTCAGACCCATCATATCGTGGACCATGCAGATTGAAGGATGAAAAAATCGAATAGTGTATTATCGATTTGGGAAGATCGAGGCGTTTCTCGGTGAAACAGAGGTCGGAATCGTGTTCAAGGGTTGAAAAGGTGTGGGTTGGAAAGTTTTGGTTTCATTAGCCAACAGATGCGAAGATAGGTGATTGTAGACGCGACAGACGATGAGTTTGTCCGTTAAGTTTTTAACGACGAGTACTAAAATGAAACAAAAATTAAAAGATAAATATAATTTAAAAAAAGTTTAAGTACTAAAACATACAAAGCAAATAGTTTAGGTACTAAATGCATAGTTTACCCTATATTTTATTAGTAGATGGCGCCCATAGATGAGGATTTAAAGTTGCAAACAATCAAAGTCAAAAGATACCCAACCCTAACGAGGATGTGCCATTAATAAAACGCACTGTGGGTCCACAATATGGGCTTGAAGTCCTTTATATTATACTATATATATAAAGGATATATAACGTAAAGAAAGTGGTTGTTGAGATTAAATTGATGATTTAATATTAATCAAAATTAAAATAATGTTTTATAAACTTGTCACAATTTAGCTTAACACACTTGAGAAGAAAAAGATTGACATTTGTTTACTGTATGCTATTATTTTTTTAATTTTTCAAAATTTTAAAAAAATAACGATTGAGTTAAATATAATCTTTAAAAAGCTTAGGATAAATTGCAAATTTAGTAATTGAACTTTAATTTCTCTCCTATTTTAATACTTTAAATCTTTTCAATTTTTTTGGTCACCTAACCATTAAATAGTTAACAACGTTAAAATATATTATTTTATAGATGCAAAACGACATAGTTTTAGTGAAAATTTTCATTTTTTTAAAATGGTATCGTTTTTTATGCCGTTAACTATTTAACGATGGAGTAACCAAAATAGGGGAGAGAGTAAAATTCAATGATAAAAAATTCAATGTATTAAGTTTATCGAGGAAATTAAAAACTTTGAAGTTCAATGAACAAAATAGGAGAGAGATAGTAAAATTTAGTTATAAAATTAGTAATTTTACCAACAAAAAAACTTAAATGGTAGCTTTGCTTTTAAACAGTTATGATAGAAAATGTTAAGATAATATTTCATATTAGGAAGCATACATACAAGGATGGATCGAAGGGATCAGTGGAGCAATCGTTCCCTGAAATATAATGGATTCTAGTGAATGGCGCAAGATAAGGGAATGCTCTGGGTGCAAGTTAGCAGGTCTAATGGCATCCGAGCTTTCTGTTGATTCGCGTTCGTCCGACCTCTGAATGCCTCTCTTCATCTTTCACTGTTATTGGGTTTCTTCTGTCGCTCATCTATTTTGCAATGGATTGGAAAAAACTCTTCAAATGCTCTGAATCGCAAGACCTAGAGTTTTATCCCCCAAATGTCCGCGATGGTAGCTTGATTGTTCTTCCCCCTCCAGAAATTATTGATGCTAGTATTTCTGAGTGGAAGCTTTCCCTGGTGGGCCAGTTCCTCAGAGTCTCACCAAACTTCTCTTCGTTGCAACGTATTGTTGACAATGTCTGGCGTAAAGCTCTGCGGGGATCGCACATCCAAGTCAGTTCTGCTGGCAATAACTTATTTATTTTCTCGTTCGATAATGAATCGGCCAGAGATTGGGTTCTCGATAATGGCCCTTGGCACATTCATACCCTAATCCTTCAAAAATGAGAACCTAATATGAAAAGCCTGAATTTTGATTTAACTAAGATCCATGTCTGGGTTAATCTCTTCAACGTACCCTTAGAGCTCTTCTCCCGATTAGGGCTTAGTTACATTGCCAGCGCCATTGGTGTTCCTCTATCAATGGATTCTGTTACTGT